GAAATCCCCTCCTGATCAACGCGGGGAAGACCAGGTCGATTTTCGCAGACAGCGGTCTGCCCTCCCCCATCCGGTGAACATCCAGGGAATGGTCATTGAGAGAGTGGCCACTTATAAGTACCTGGGTGTTCACCTGAACAACAAACTGGCCTGGACTCACAACACAGATGCTCTGTACAAGAGGGGTCAGAGCAGGCTGTACTTCCTGAGGAGACTGAGGTCCTTTGGAGTGACAGGGCCCCTCCTAAAGACTTTTTATGACTCTGTGGCCGTGTCAGCCATCCTCTACGCTGTGGTCTGTTGGAGCAGCAGCATCACTGAGAGGGACAGAAAAAAGTTGGACAAGGTGATCAAGAAATCTAGCTCTGTCCTGGGCTGTCCTCTGGACTCAGTGAGGGAGGTGGGAGACAGAATGGTCCTGGCTCAACTGACAGCTATGCTGGACCATGAGTCGCACCCCCTGCACTACACCCTGTCAGCCCTGGAGAGCAGTTTCAGTGACAGGCTGCTCCATCCCCGCTGTGTGAAGGAAAGATACCGCAGATCTTTCCTTCCAGCGGCCGTCAGACTGTACAATGAACACCGTTGACTCTGTGCAATATAATCCATATCCCATGTGCCATTATTACATCTGTGCCTAATTTTCATTTGTGCAATTTTACTAATTCATGTGCAATTATTGTATAATACAGTTTGCTATATCTGATTTATGTGCATTGCCGTTCTACAACACTTTTATATTACCAGTATTTATTTATGCCGCAGGAGACTGTACTGTATAAGGCATAGTCTGTTTAGTCTTATTTAATGTATAGTAACCTTGTTTTTATTTACTGTAAGAACGGTACTTTCTTGTCTTGTCTTTCTGTATGCTACTTTGTACACTTGTCTGCTGTTGTAAACCGCATTTTCCCCACTGTGAGACAAATAAAGGTTTTCTTATCTTATCTTATCTTATATACAAAAAGGATTAAATGACCATGTATTTTGTATTTATTTTTATTGTTAATGTTTAAGTGGCATTTTAATACTATAGTTGGTAAAGTGAAACTAATTTTATATACTGTAGCTCAATATACTGTATGCATCAGACTTATAGTAGGTCATATGTGAAGAGGTTAGTATTTAACTACAACTGTCAAATAAATGTCGTCAAGTAAAAAGTACAATTCTGAAAACTCACAATTGTTCTCAAGTATAGTACTTCAAATGTACTGACTTAACTTTATACCACTGACTGGAGGTATAAAACTGATACTTGACATTTGATAAGCATAAGGAATTAAAATACTAGAAAGTACAAACTTTAATAGCAAAGAGTTTAGGGTTTTAAGATTGTCTGTCATAAGTGATACACAGACACGAGCGCAACAAGTAGAGTGCAGGATAATGCCGCTTTTGGAGGTTTATTTCCCTGGAAGTGGCTCAGGACTACATCATGCTCTATCTGTCCGTCTCGGTTAAAAACTGTGATGTATTGGAAGCCATAAGACTGAGGAAGTTTACACAGCATGAGTGCCATCCCTCAGTGCTGGTGTAGGCTCCTGCTGAAGTCTGCATATCCTGCTCGCCGCCTTGTTAACCCAGAATACCCTAATGACTTCCCCTCTCTCGCTGCCGAGCCACACTGTGAAGTCATACATGTTTCCATGTAGCCTAAAGTGAGGAGAGGAGAGCAGTGAGGAGGAGAGGAAAGCAAACTAGACAGCATGGAGGACAACTGGTACCACTAATGAAGTGTGTTCTGATGGTATAAATCCTCCTTAGAGTAAGCAGCATTTGAGTGGCTGTGTCCACCAATGAACATCCCACATTCATTATACTCATACTCACCATGTATGGGACCATATCCCGCCACACTCATCTTTAATGTTTCTCCATTTTTTCTACTCTAAGCTTTAATATATCTCCTGACACCACTTCGAGTGTGGAAAAATAGTTAAATAACTGATTAGACTCATTTGCCTTTCCTTTGAAAGAAATACAAAAAAGAGAAGTCGGGAATGTTCCAGCACAGCCTTCACAGGCCACAGAAATGTTAGTTGGGTTTTATCGCTGTTTTACATCACTGTCAGCTCGTGAACATTGTTGTTGCAAAACCCTCACATACGCCTACTGCATGGATGATTCAGGGTTTAGGAACTAAGAAGAGTGGAAGTTGGATGTCAATATGTAAGGATATTTTTACGTAGAGCACACTTTCACCAAAGTTTTTTTTGGGTTAGGTTTAGATGTCATGTTCTTTATATGTTTTCATTCTAATTATTAAACAACAAATCTGTTATTCTCTTTTTTTTTATTCTTGTTTTTGTTATTTTGAAGTCTGTGGTGTGTGTTCATACACAGTCTATAGCCTTGATGTAGATGGTTTTGGCTCCGATTGGTTGTCGCCATCTTGTGGTTGAGTCGCTTACTCACTTCTTCTTGTATGACTCATGCGTGGCACACAAATACGAGCAAGCTTGCCAAAACACACACATACACATGCTAAAATGCATGAAAAGTTATGTGCACAAAAAATACTAATACACAAATGAAAAAAGAATATATGCATGTCTGTCCTACGGTCTGTGAGCAATAGTTATTTTTCACAGCAGATATTTTGACTTGTCATTGTAGCAAAAGCACAGGTGTTAATTTTAACATTAACAACAACTCCATTCTATTCAAGAGTCTCAGTGAGCCATTACTGTGTGACAGTATGACAGCATGCATGCACAACACCAGGACACTGAAACTGAAGCAGCTAAATTGAATTCAGCCATCATTAATTTTAACACTTGCGGCGCATCATACTGTGACATGTCAAAATTTCGTCTGTGAAAAAGGCCTAACATGCAAGCATAAATGCACACGTGCATGTGTGACTATATGCACACACAGTAAAGACCAAGCATTTGCTAAAAGAGTTGTAAAAATAACACTCTATAAGTATATTGGTGTCACATGAATGCATCACATGTCCACAGTATAGATATGAATAAGGGAAAGAGGGGTTATAATAAACACAACACAGTGTATAATCTGTATCGGAGTGAAAGTAGTGAACTTTAAATGAGAATCTGAGTAGGTGATTAGAATGGCTCCCTCGTTTCCAACAAACTTCTGGAATTTGTAGAGGTGTTATTGATTTCACTAAAAAGCCCAACGAGAGAGCTGCTGACACTTGGACATGCCATCTCAGAACAAAAACTTAAATGATTACAGCAATGAGGCCAGTGAAAGGGGATGACTGACAGTTTATATTTTATCTGTGATGATTCTGTGTGTTAGCCAGGAACAAGGAATGCAAAAGAAAGCACTGACAGGTGAAAAAACCCAACCTGCAACAAGAATACTGGGCCTTTATTTACAATTGCGTCTACATGCCCTAAATTGTAAACAAGCTATTATGGGTAAGTAAAGAACCTTGATTATGAATCCAGACCGTAGAAAAGTTTCCTTTGACTGTGTTTCAGCCAAAGTAATGTTATATATATCCTGCTGGTTTTGATGGCTAGGTGAGCATCTCTTGAAGCAAGGTGAATGCTGCCATTTGTCAAATGAAAATGTCAAAGCAAGCTCAATTTTGCATTAAACTTTATATTATATAGTTATTGAATGGATACACTGGAAATTTTTTGTCAACAGAGTTTGAGAGCAGTGAGTTACTTTTCACATTACAATGTATCTCCAAATCTTTTGATTTTGAATTAGAATTTTCTGATAAACTGAAGGATGACGTATTCCTTGATACTTTAATCCTGAAACACAATATAATAATAGCATTATAGCAAAACACAGGCAACTGTTTTGATAATAGTGTAAGTAATTTTTAATGCGAAATTATTTCATGGTTCAAGTCTCACAAATGTGAAGATTTGCTGCTTGTCCTTTTAATTTTCTAGATTTCTTTTTAATAATTTTGAGGTTTGGACTGTTAGTTGGAGAAAACAAAGCATTGTGAAGGGGTCGCTTTGGGCTCTGGGTAATTGTGACGACCTTTCTCACTATTTTCAGAATTTCTTTTACAAACTGAACCATCAATCCAGAAAATAATCAGCAGACTAATCCATAACGAAAATAATCAAAAGTTATAGTCCTGTACAAAGTATTCTACAGCAACAGTAACATCATGCTTTAACATTCATGCATGAATAGCCTACTAAAACTCTAATGTTATAATATAGTAATATCAGTCAACAGCCACAGGTTCCATGTTTCTGTATACTGAGTATTAAGTTAATGATCTGAGTACTTCTTCCACCTCTGTCAATAACACACAAATTATAAATCATTAACTCACCTTACATGGCTCCACTGTACACAATATAGGCCAGTGGTTCTCAAAGTGGGGTCCTTGAGGGGGTTCCAGGGGGTCCCCAGCAAAAAGGGGTATTGTTTAGTTTCACTATAATTCCATCCATAAGTAACACAATTACTATTTTGGTCATTGGTTTCATGCACTTTCTGTAATAAAACATCTACCAATCTAAACCAATCAAACATACCAATCCATCTTCCACCCCTCCAGGACCTTGTGACACAAACAGTTCCAGACACTTCCCTCATACCCCCACCCCTTTATGGTACATACTGTAAATATTTTGCATATCACTGCACAAACATATTCTTACATAGTCTTTATAATTATTTTATATTGTGTATTTCTTGTCATTTTTTTTACTTTATATTTATATAAGTCACCAAACAAAATTCCTTGTTAACCTGCTTGGCACTAAAGCTGATCATGATTCTATCAGATGGGCACACTGGGACAAAATCTTATCAAACGGGGGTCCGTGGTCTAATAGCCTATGTGTCAGGGGTCCTTGACATGAAAAGGTTTGAGAGCCACTGCTGTAGGCTATTCAGCTCGGACTGTGTGTTTTTCTCTGGTGCCCCCTTGCGGTTTGATGTTTATATGTAACCTCTTTACAACACCCTATTATCATTGGTTCAAAGCGTCGTCTTGGGGCCCTTTTTGCATGCATGCTCCTCCCTTGTTTTTGTTACACACACACACACACACACACACACACCAACACCAAAGTGATGCCAACCACTCCATGACTGGGCGGTATGTCTGTCGAGGCGGTATAATCTAAAACCAACCCGGGATTTTATGGAGCAGTGGATGTGTTGACTGAGATGCGACGGTGCATGAAAAAGGTGATTAAATTCACAGCTTTGCAAAATTTTTCGTCTTCTAATATGTGCAGTTAGCTGAATGGCTAATGGCGCTAAATCTCCTCTCTCTCTCTCTCTGTAAATCGGTGTGCACTGCTACATCGTTGCACGTTATCATTTATTCTCCCCTCACACATAATCCGGTCATGTCTGTCGTTTCGTCCCCAGACACTTCGTCTCCACGGTGGGCTGAACTATGATCGGCGATAAACGAGCAGAGGAACACGGAGAGAGAAATCTGAGTCACTATAATCCATCTGGACGTCGGGGGAGAAGATGAGGACCGTGATGGCTTCGATGAAAACAGCATTATTCGTATTTCTACACGGGGGTGAGTGCAGCCGCGTCTGCCTTGTACCTGTCTGCTCTGCACACAATGACTAAAACCGCCTCGCCATCTGTCTCATGGAGATGCATTTGCATGATTGTTTCTCCATGCCCATCAGTCAGACTATTAATGTGGCAACACTCAGCTTTATCTTCATTATTTGGGCTGCCAGTCTTTGGCCTGTAACGCTACTTGTATCCACGTGGGTCATCTACTGGGACACAGCATTTCACACATTCTTGTGGTCTGTAAATCATTTTATTGTCTACAATATAAATGCAGAAGTGACTGATGGCATAGCCCACTATGAAACCTATATGCAGAAGTGATCGATGGGACAGCCTGCTATCAAACATAAACCACACACAGGCTATTTGATGAATGTTGAGGCAGTGGTGTTAGAGAAACATGTCCTTTTGGCCATTAAAAGGAGTTCCTGGTGGCATCTAGGAAGTCCAAAGCAAAACATCAGTATGTCACTGTAATGGTATTTACACAGTCCCTAGTTGTTTTATTGTACAGCACTATAGAAACACTAGTTTCACCTATTATTTAATTTTACTATTTATAATGCCTTAAGTTGATTTCATGTCTTCACCACTTGTTTAATCTCCCAGTGTGGTTGTCTTATGTCCTCTTGGTTTTGTTTTACATTACCTCACCAAAGCAAATTCCTGTCAGCTATGATTGAAGTGGCAATACAGTATACAATCCTACATATATATGTTGAAGAGTGACAGTAGACAGTAGTAGTAGTTTTTGCGGAGGGAAATATGGTGAGATAACCAAATAATTCCACGGTGCTTAAGATTTTAAATAAGACTTTATTTTAGTGTAACACTTATAGGAGGCTCAACCCAGACAAGCAGATATAGATGTAGGCCATAAAGCTAAAATAAAAAAAATTATATTTCAAAAACATAGTTTTCACCTAACATTTTAAACAGAGAGAGAACATATCAGACTGAGCAACACAGTTTTACCTCCCTGCTCACACTAATAATAATTCTATGAATCATATCTAATAACCACATAGACGGGGTTCCATGGGGTCAGGGGGAATCAGTCTGTGGCCCAACATGCAGGTCTTTGTTGGTTCTTTGGGTCTCCATCCATGTTGCAGAGTATATAATCCAGACAGTATTGAGCATTGTCACAAGCCGTGGTGTCCCCCAGCCCTCTCAGTCCGAGCCCAATGTTAATTAGGACTTGATCCGCTTAAGCCTCCCACTAGTCTCCTATGTTATTATCTATGTGCGTGTTGTTATCCAGCCGTGGCTCAGCCTGTGAGAAAGCTCCAGTTGTTTTTATGTCTGACACACACACACACACACACACACACACACACACACACACACACACACACACACACAGGTGGGGAGTGCCAAAACGCACCCTTCTAGTATTTCTAGTTGTTCAGGTCTTTAACAGTTTTAGGTGAAAGAGTGTGTTGTTTAAAGGTTGATCCTTCTGTTCAGTCTCAGTTTGTGGGTGTATGTTTGTTGACTGGGATGTCGGCTTCATCGCAACTCATTTGCATTTTGAGATAGTTTATTTCTCAGCTTTTGGCACCACTTGTAAGTTTTAATCACTTGGAAGGCCGCTGACATTGAAGATGTGTACCCTATTTATAGCCAGGGTATGTATCTCGCAAGGCACAAAATTCCCACACCCTCCCTTCATTCCGCCCTCCAAAGCCACGCCCCAAAACACCTTTTCATACACAGTGAGTGCACAGGCAGAGAACAGACAGGCAGTTAGGGCGTGCTTATTACGACAGCCACAGTTACTGGCATTTTTAAATTGTGTGTCAGAGCATTTGATTTAGTGATTGCTGTCAGAATGTAAAGAGAATTTAAACAAATATAACTAGAAATGCTTCTGAAATAAATTTAATTCCCCAGCTTTAACAGTCCACAATTAATACAGTTTCTTCGTTAATGTCCCTATAAAATAATAATAGTATTTCTGCTTTCTGCTTTTAAATTGGGGTGGGGGGTATTGATACTTAGTTTCAGAAAATAGTTGAGGTATCTCAATCAGTATTTGGAGAAAAAAAAGATCAATGAATCCCTAGTTTTTAATTTACACAACTTCCATAGTTGCACTGGACTTCCATTAAAATGTTTGTTAATGTTGTTTACCTTCTTATTAGCATTTGGCGTGTATTATCAGTTTGATAAAATCACCAGAAAATTGGTCTTGATACAAACAATCTGTGAAATAAAAGTAATTTGTGAATAAAAGAAAAATCCACTTTTCTGTTTACAAGTCTGCAGAGTCGGAAAGGATGACGACATATCAAATTAAGCTTCTATAGAAAGATGAAATTATTTACTTCATAATGTGTGATGCATATGTGGTAAAAATGGTAAAATGGAAAATGGTAAAATCCCCTGTTAAAATGTTATCAATTATATTTGTTAATGTTTGACTGATGCTGTATCAGCATGTGAATATTTTGGGCAATTACCCTTATCATGATGGAATAGCAACAGCCTGAGAAGTTTCAGTGACTGTGTGGATGATTAGAGAATTTCAGTATTTAAATATCCCAAAATGTCTGTGAGTGTCTGAACCTGTGACTATTTCAGAGAAGTTCTAGGGGAAGTGGCTTATGTGGCCAGACAGTGAGACTTAGTGAAGTACAATGATGCTTGAACCTGGAAGCTGGCTGCTCTCCCTCCTGAGGCACTCGCACTGAATATTTTTGCTCACAACCCGAACACTGAAAATCTGCCATGTTGCCAGGCTTCTGTTGTACAGTAAGATGACAGGGATAGAGTACACCCCTTTTGGCCCGAATAAAATCTTTTTACTCAGGTTCAGTGCAATTTTCAGTTTGGCAATTTCAGGTGCAGTAATGACCTTTTGGTTTGCTGCTTTGGGCACCGAAAATGTAAAAATTTCTATAATTCAATGGCAGCATCTTATTTTATAATATAATAACACAGCTACTCACAATAATTCACATTGTGAAGAGTTTCATGGAGAACTTCTAAGTGTGCAGATGCAAAAAACATTTCAGAAGGTCTGGAGAAAACTGTACCCAGAAAACTGATTCTGGGAAAGATACTTACTGAGTACTTGAGTTACTGTTGAGTTGGTCAAATATTTTTTTAGAGCTGAAATAATTTCTTGATCAGTGATGGACAGAAAATGAGTTAGCAAGTATTTTGATAATTGATTTAACAATGCCAAAGACAACTTAATTTTAGCTGCCGAGTTGTGCAGATGTGCTGCCTATCTTTGTCTTATTTGACAGTAAACTGAATATATTTCGGTTTTGGACTGTTGGTCAGACAAAATTACCAAATAGAAGATGTCGCCTTGGCTTTAGGATATTAAAAAGAGCCCCTGTCACTATTTTCTGACATTTAATATACAGATTAAGTGATTTATTTGGAATTTTAATCAATAATGAAACAAATTGTAACTTACAGTAGCAGTATTTTTTTCAAAGCTGGTATCTCTGAATCCCATTCACTGAATTGGAGGTAGAGCCACTTTGAGCAAACCTTACTGAAACTGTAGCACTCTTTGTAAGAGTGCAATATAAACTAGTTTTAAGGGTTTTAGTGTTGCTTTAAATGGAGTAATGAGAGAAGAAGAAACCCACTAACTCATTATATTTCATTTATTAAATGTGCTACTATACCCAGAAGAATCTGGCGCAGCCCAAGCCCTACTGTTTTTTTCTCCTAAGCTATTTAAAGTATTGATTCCGTGTTAGCCATTCATCCGCTCAGGATATTGATTGGTGAGTTTCATGTACCAAATATGCTGCGAGACAAGAGTGTGACCCACAGAAACTGACATTGTTACTGTTTCCAATGTTTCCTGCCCACTTGTCACCATCTTTCTCCTGCTGTCTCCATTTGCCTTTCACAGTGCTCCAGACCACCGTGTGTCGCGACGTAACTCTTCCCCCAGGAATCCTCTACCGCGTTGCAGGGTTCCCCCTCTCCCTGCCCTGTGCCGTATCAGGGTACGAAGGCTCACGTACGCAGGAGTTTGAGTGGTTCCTGTACAGAGATGACTCTGGTGGGAGGCAGATGGGAGTGGTGTCCACCAGGGACAATGGCTTCCCTTATGCCCCGTTTCAGGCCCGGGTGCACAACAGGGAGGTAAGGGTGGAGAGGGACTCAGGGGACAAGGTCCGGCTGGTGATCCAGAGACTCAGGGCCGAAGACCAGGGGAAGTATGAGTGCTACACACCAAGCACGGACAGCACCTACCAGGGTAGCTACAGCGCAACAGTGCCTGTCAAAGGTGAGATGTATACTGTATATATAGCTTTATATATGTAACGTTATATATATATATGTGTGTGTGTGTGTGTAGATAAATATATATATGTGTGTGTGTGTGTGTAGATAAATATGTATGTGTATATGTATATATATAACATTTGTTGGGGCTATTTTCACCTGTGGATTTTACATTTAATGTTGAACATTGGATTCTTTTGTTAATTGAAAAAGGGGGTTTGTAGATGACAATCATAGTTTAATTGGGACATATAGTGGAAACCAAATATATTCATGTTCAAGTCATGGGGGTTACCATATGAGGAGATTTTATCAGCAACTGTGTGCACTACATTAGCTAGATGAACGAGACATGTGTTTAACATTTTGCATAAGCTATTATTCATACTTGATATACTATATCTGAAGTTTGTACTCCTTCTTTATGTTTATCTTTCTTTCTACGAATGTCCATCTGCTCAAGCTATCCAAAATATTTTTGGCAATTTTACACCATCCACATTGTTACCAATTATGCTTCTATATCATCATCTTCTTTGTGTACTGCTGAGTTTATGTCTGTAAGATGCTGGGTGTTAGTTTTGCAGTTGAAGTGTGTTATCTTCATTATAACTAATATATATTATATTATAACTAATCCCCCTTCCTTTGGCAAAGCTAGTTCCCAAAGCCAAGGGTGGCAAATGGCTTGCCGTCACTCTCAGCAACCCTATTTCGTGATGTGCTTTAGTGGTCTAAACATAGAAACATCTAAACAGCACACAGGCAATAGAAATTAAATTTGGCATGTATTTTCTTCCCGTCTGGCTCCTGTAGCCTCTTGATGTAATGTAATTGTCTGTCTGTATCTCTTTGTACACCCGCAGTGATCCCTGACACACTCCAGATCAGCTATTCCCGCTCACTCACTGGCCAGCCCGTGCCAGAGGGTGCTGAATTAACTCTAACATGCTCAGCCGGCATCCAGTCGGAGCAGCTCACCCATCTGTCCATCACGTTTGGGAAGCGTAGTGGTGGAGAGGGTTTGGAGAGTGGAGCAGGAGGGGACCGCACCGTTAGAGAGATTATCTCCATCGACAAGATGCTGGGGGTCGTCCCCGGACTTTCATACAAGAAGCGTTACGACGACGGAGAGATCACGCTGGAGAAAAGGAACGGGGAGGCTGGACTTGATGTATACGTGATGAAGATGAGAGGTGTGCAGCCAGATGACACCGGCTCGTATTTCTGTGAGGCCTCGCAGTGGATTCTGGATCCTGATCGATCATGGCAGAAGATCGCACAAAGGACGCTGGACATTGGCAACTTGACTGTGCAGCAGCTAGGTCGGTGTAACCAGGAAACTGTGCTGTTGGTGGCCAAGGTCACACTACAACAAGCACACTGCACAACAGCTGATTATTTTGTTCTGCGATCATTGTTCAAACAACATACATTTTAAAGATGATGTGGTTAGTCATAAAATTGTAGAGCAGGCAGTTTGTGAAGTAGTCCGCGACCCTGAGGAACTTATCATAAAATAAAGTTGGCTGCTCTAGTTGCAGAATAAACCAGAGACAACAAAAACAGAAAGTCCGAAGTTTGGTTCTACTTGTCAGCTCAAGACTCTTTTATTCTCACTGGCGTCAGTCGGCCTGGACTTCTAGTGCTGTTGAGTACATTGGACTGTTTCCAGATTTCCTGACTGGATGTTTGTGTTACATAGAGCCTAACTGAATGTATGATTTGCTGACTGAGCAGTGACTGGATAGAGTAGGCTGATTAAATCTGTAACTGGATACACATCTGTAGTCAGCTTGTTTCCTTGTTTGTTGGCTGTTTGGTCAGAAGAAGTGTTTGGATTTCCGATGAGCTGCCTGGATGGCAGGGTGGTACTGGCTTCGTTTTTTCCTACCTTGCTGAGTGGATGGATGGACATCTAACTATTAGGGCTGCAACAAATGATTAGTATCTTATCTAATCTTATTTTCTTGATTAATCGATGAATCCTGTCTGTGAAATGGTTTACAATTCCTAGCACAGTATCTTAGAAACCGAGTTGACTTTATCAAATGTCTTGTTTTACTATACTATACTATTTACTACAGTGTCGTAGTTTTTCCCACATTTTAGAAACTGAAGCTATCCATTTTCTGCATTTTTGCTTGAAGAATGAATTAAGCAATTAAGTTTTTAATTTTTTTAAATTTTTGTAATTGCAGCTCTACTTACTCTCTTTTTAGGATGTTGGCTGTCAGACCGCCCGACTGACAAGCTTGATGCTCATCTCTCTTGTTGATTATTTAGCTGGATTTGGTCAATAGCTGTCAGGCTGGGCAGCTGGATAACTTGCTGCTTGGATCAGTTTAACTTCTAAAGAGCTTGTGTAGATCTTTTTTTTATTATAAATATGTTTATTAATTAATGTTGCTGATACTACTAGTCTCTCTTAGCACTAAGTAACTAAATAGTGGAACAAAAAGTTATTTAGGTCAAATTTAAGCTGAACTTGAAGCATTGAATCTCATCAACGCATGCATTGTTTTCTCCAACACTCGCTGACAAACACTTTTTAGTTCAGTATTTTCTTGCTCCTCTTGTCTGACTAAAACAATTGTCTGTCATGTCTCCCTTTGTTTGCATAAATAATATGTCTATTGAGCACATCTGTGTTTAGAGAAGTGTTGTGGTTAAATGAGGCTTCGCTCACACAACGGGCCTGAATCTTCTAATTATACCAGGGTATTAGTACTGACTATATAAAACCTTTTCAGTTCATTAAACAAAGCTGCACATACTTATTTGTGCTATGTTCTTCTACTGTTATGTTTTATTTGTATCTCTGAATATACATCAACATATGTCTATTTTATAGAGCAATAATAGAAAATTCTAGTACAAATTAAAGTGGGTTATGCATTTTATCCTGACCATTAAATATGTAATGTACTAGAGAGGCCTCCCCCAACTTTCCTATAGAAATGATACTTACAGTAAATATCGCTTCCTGTGAAGACTTTTACTGACACAGTCCATGTGCTTGTTTGAGGCCCTCCACCAAGGAGGATTTCCAGTGCTTTCACTTTTACTAAGCTGTCTCCCTCTACCTCTTCTATTCCTCAGTGGAGTCTATGAGTGTAACATCCTCGCCCAGAGGGGAGGTGACCTTGCAGGTCGGTTCCCCTCTCATCCTGACCTGTGAGGTGTTGGGGCTGCCATCTGAAGTAAGCTCGGGCCTGCTGGTTAAGTGGATGAAGAGGGGATCTGTAAGAAGCGATGTAGCTGGGACCGGAGGAGTTGAGGTACTGATTCTCACTCTGCTGACTTATTTGGAATAAAATAGTTTGTTGTAGGTAGGTTATAGCTCGATATGCGATTGTATATAAAAGGGCAAGGTGTTGGTGTGTTTGTTTTGCTCCTGCAAAGTATAACTTAAGTATAAGTACATGTTAATATTTACGTTTGTAAGTGAATGTGTCAGTTTTTTTGCAAACAACAAAGAGTGAACTGATGAAACATTTCATGTCAAAATTATGATGTCAAGAGACATTAGAGTTTGCAGTAAAGTCCAGCAGTGCAGTATGAGAAACAGCTTGCAGGTAACTGAAATGTGCCTGCTTTTATAGAATAAAAGATTCATTAAATAATAATAGATTAATTGTCAATTGATTTAATTGCATGTGTGGATAGGTATTAGCCATCACAGTCACCGCTGAGTCTAATTTATATTCTGTCAAAGTTACATCATTGTCGCATGGTTATTCAGCTGAAATTACAGATAGATTTGAAATATTTTCAGGTGTGGTGCATTGAAGTGCTGCAGGCAAAGTTCTGATAAATGACACTTAAGGGTTGGTTTTCAAACAGCATCCTTTTTCATTCAAGAAATGAAAAAAAAATACATTATGGTTTTATGATGTTAGGCAATAATATAAAGTATTCACAGTTTTTAGTAAATTGCCTGAATAAATCACATTTCAAATTACAATCTGACACTTAGTGACACATTGTATTTTCCGTTAAGGTGGAGGTGGCCAGAATGAGCCCAGATGGTGTTGTGAGCTGGGGGGACGACCTCAGCCGAGCTAGTGGGGGATCTATGGAGAAAGTGGCAGAGGGGAGGTACTCTTTGAAACTATTCTCAGCCCGCCCCTTAGACTCAGGGGTGTATCGGTGTATGGTGAGTGTGTACGCTGGAAGAAGAAACCCTGGACCGTCTACTCCTGCAACACTCACCCAGAGGTCTGAGGGAGTCACCATAAACCTCAAGACCAAAGGTGAGAGGTGCTACTCAGTGCAGACTCTTTTTTTCAGACAGGCTTCATCTATATCAGAGATTCCCAGGTAGTTTTGCAGTTGCCAGGAGTTAAAAAAAATAAAAACAATATGTGTGTGTGTGTGTGTGTGTGTATATATATATATATATATGTATGTGCGTGTGTGTGTATATATATAATGTCCAAAAGAATAGGACTTGTCCAAATTTCAGTTTCAGCTTTACTAATCTGTTTCTAGTCATAAATCGTTCTGTGTATTTTAAATTTCTGAGCAATTGTAATTGAAAACAGATCACCATGTATAAATAATAAGTTAGTATAGTATTCCAGTGTTCATGGGTAGACTGCCCAAAGTGGTTCTAATTATATATATCATAAACGCATGTTCACTAAACTGGGGTTAACACATATTACCTTATTAAGACAAAGATGAAAATCTTAAGCTGACAGTTACATATGTTCTATTTACCCTCTATAGTCTTTACATGTACCACTTCCTTTCACAGATGTGCTAGTTTCCGCTGTAGCTCGGATTCCTCGAGGCCCCCTGTTAAAAAGAGGCAGCACCATCACCCTGATCTGCAACGCCACCGTGACAACCACAGGTCCCGCCCAGGCACAGGTGCAGTGGCTGCGGTGGCCAATCCCTGAACCAGTTACTAAGAAGAGACAGAGTCCAGCATCTGATATCACTCTACCAGAGCCCACTGTTGAGGAAAAACCCAGACTGGTAGCTGCCCTCATGTACGACGGTGTTGCAAAGATCTATGCCAACGGCAGTGATGTTAGCGTCGACCGCTTGTCAGCTGTCAGCTACAGACTGAGGGTCCACACAGCAACAATGGATGACCAGGGCATGTATACGTGTCATGCCGAGGCGTGGGGGCGGGACCCACATGGGGGCTGGTACAACACAGGGGCCAAAGCGGAGTCAAATGCAGTGACTGTGTACCTGTATGCTAGAGGTAAGAGTCTCGTAGGTTGTTTTTTTTGTTGTAGTAATCATAGTGTTAGTGGATATATGTAATTTATTACAGTTTATTAACTGTTTTTGCAGTTCACAGTTAAACACATTCACATCTGGAAGCTGCAATATAATCTGTTGGCTACTAAGCACCAATTGGAGGTGCTGCCTGTTCACCTTCCTCATCCAGATTTATCCTAGTGGTCTGGGGATCAAAAACGTGACAGGCTGGAGGGAAGCTTTGTAAATGTCAGGTGTAAATTTCAAGCATTTCCTCTTGATCTAAAGAAATGTCTGCACATGTTAGAGATAAGTAGATTGATTCTACTCTATATCCTTTGTTTATCTATTGGCATCCATTTACAGTCTATATATCCACAATGTATTTGTAAAATATTTGTCAAAGCACTACAGTGATATGTCCAGCACCGTGCACATGGTTATCTTTACATTATCATGTGTTGGCACTGATCGAAAAGTTAGCTGTTGACCTTCTTTCTGTTCTACATGGCTCTGGATCCTAGATTGAGACTAAATGGACTCCGTTTCCGGCACTAGATGACTGAATCACCAGATCAAACTGTGCTTTTAGCTAATCCAGCAGGACAGGCAATTAACTTGCTTTTCATCAGTATGTGTGCTGCCTGAATGTCAAAAGTACTATATGAATATAGTTTTGAACCAAACAAATCAGTTTTTCCCAAAGGACACCCTTCTGTATTTTAATGTACTGTATAAATATTGGCATTTACCCATTTGAAAATGCAAAACAGAATTAAAATAAAACATAGATAGATTTAATTTTCAGCCCATCCTGATGTGTTATCCTTTTACAGATGGCAGTCTACATCACAACTTCCTCCTTTTATTTTTTCTCTCCCCAGCTGCTGACCTCCTGCTCATCCCTTTGGTTGTCGGAGTCTCCTCTGCCTTGTTTGTAGGCATCGTGATCATCGCAACAGTAACCTGTTGCTTTATGAAGCAACTGGCAAGGCAGCGTGCTCAAAAATAGGCGTCCCCTGTCACTGCCTGTCTGAATTTTCGCAACGAGGCGCAAAGAGGTGACGCACAGAATATAATGGATGAAATGGCCAACAAATAAATAAAGGGAAACATGGCACCCTGTTAGATGATTTTCTGTGTTTTGACCTACCTATTTAACAGTTAATGCCAAAAGATTATATTTTATAATCTCTTGTATTTTTATATTCAAACCTCTGAAAACAACAATTTTAGTGATTGCTGCGACAAGTAACCAGTAGGTAGATTTTTGAAGCCACCATCCAATGACCCCTCTCCACTCCTCAAGTTTTTAGTTTCCTTGGAAGTCAAAACCCACATTTTTAATGATCCCTTTGTCCCAGCCAATCACTCTGTTTCGACTGGAAAAGGGTCAAAATACACACACGCAAGATTTTTGTGACAAGGTCAAAAGTAAAGAAAGTACTGTGGTTTGTTTTGTGTCTGTCTAAAGGTCAAGAAAACTGACTACTCAGAAGTCATTGTTTGATTGTTACAGTGTGAAGGTACCCTAGAAGGATCTCAGCCTATCAGATGTTTTGTATGATGCAAGATGTAGATCTTCCTACATTGAGTAATGTTACTATTTTCACACAAAGAAAGAATATCCTGTGTTTTCAGATCCAGTTGTTTTGTTTTTATTACAACAATGTCTAAATGTCTTTGCATGGTTTAAGCCTCTAGCACTGCCACTGACAGTCACATGAATGCTGATGGGAGCAGTTAAGCCCCCAGAAACCGCCTGCAGCCCCCCCCCCCCCACATGTAAAAAGTGTCTGTTCTGTTACTTAATAAGGAAGGCGCTGGCTGGGGACATTCTGATGCCAAGACCAATTGAGTACCAATTCTAAACACAAGCATTCATTGTCTGTGACGCTTCAATGCTGTAGTGAGTTTTCTATATGGACTTGAATAGATTTGACAGAAAGAAATGGAAGACAAATCCATTATGCACTGAGCTAAAATATGTGAATACTGTATGGAGTTTAGCTGTTTTATTTTTCTTAATGTAAGTAAGACTATGCTGTAGCGCCATGTTAATATTTGGCAAAGTGTGGTTAACATTCTGCAGCAGTTTGTTCTGCTCTTTTTGAAGCACTCTGGGGGAAAAATGGGACTGGGACCAAAGCTCCTTGGTACCCTTCTTTTACTTGATCTTCTTCCAGCTGAAAAGCCACTTCTTTGCTGTACTTGAGCGAGTACTTTTTTCCCCCTTCCTGGCAATTAATTGTTCCTTTGCTCTTGTCAAGTGACTGAGATAGACAAATAGTACTGTGAAAAAGGCTCCGGTTTGTTACACTGAATACCAGAAAAGTGTTGCATCACGTTGTTTAGGATACTTCTCCCCGAGGTGAAAATTTCTTAAGCAGTGCAGTCATATGACCTTTAGTGAAGTCTCACTATTGTCCTCATCATAGTTATCATGTGGTTCAGGCCACACATTTCTGCTGCCACGAGCTATTATGACCATAGCCCCCTCTGCTCGCCCACAGAAATCTGTTGGACAGATTTACTGTGTTGCCGCACTAATGAGTGAAATCCATCCTCCTCTTCCTGTTGAAAGTAACACTTGTGAAAATGTTGGTCATGCGACTGTGCCTGCTTGTTGTGATTGTTTAAAGTTAGATACGTGTTTGTGGAAAGGAGGAGGAAAGTAACATTTGTTGTGATCCAACCCGTGGCTCTCGCATGAGATTATTTCAGGTCATTTTTCCTGCTTTTCCACATTTGTTTGAGCTGAGCTATACTTTACTGTTTCAGTGTGAGTTTACTGTCTATCTATCTGTCTCTACCTCCTGGTTGTTTTTCAATGTAAGAGTCCCTCTAAATCTGCCTGTCCTTCCTAACCTGTGCTCTCTAAACCCCCCGATTATAAATGTTGTTCACGAACATTAGGGAATAAAATCACAGCTCTGCTTGCTTCCTGAGCCACTTTGTTCCAGATCAACTACTCAAAGCTGATTTGTTCCTCCACATGTCCACCCACCACATGATCACCCCCACACACACACACACAAATGCACGTGCATAGCATAGCATAGCATAGCAGCAGCAGCACAATGCTGGCTGGCTGGCATTTCAGATGGAAGTAAGCGAGTATCTGCGTGTTCATCTCTAATCCCTGTTTATGGATGCAGTGTGTGTCCCACTGCCCTTCCCCCATCTCTCAGTGTGTTACAGTCGGTGTGGCCCGTATATGATTCATTTCAAACTCTGTTCCCAGAGAATTACAGCCAGCCGTAAAAAGTTTAGCACATTACTTGCAAAGTTTGAAGGCTGCTGTTTAAGTTGTGCTTTTGCTTGAAGATGTATTAAACCCTTTTCATGAAGATGTTATGTTCTGTTTGAATTGTTTACTCATGCTTTAATACCACTGTTCCTGAATGCATCTTGCTGCCATTCAAATATATAAAGGCGGGTTATTGCTCAGTTTGTTTATTATGGTGCTTTGGCAATCCTGCCAGTTGATAAACCAATAAACCACTCTGGATTTATAATGTCACTTTGGTTTTAGTTATTCTTTTACAGTCTACTGCTATGATCAAGAGTCCGTATTTAAGCAGAGAATCTGGAAATGTTCATATCAGCAGCCACTGGAGCCAGCTGAGGTATTGCAGGACACTCTGCGTGGAGAGAAATAATACAGTCTGTCTGAGAAATTGTTCATGAGCATATTTTCCATCTGTAAAGTATGAAACAACCAAAACATTTCTTGTGGTTGCGGCAGTTTCCGAGTTACGACCGGCCAAGCAGAGGTTTGGATTTCAGCTTAAGTTAACTCTCACCACTCAAAGATGCAGTTTTAGAGGTAAACAAGCAGAACCCTTCATCTTCTTCTTTGTCAGAACCAGTAAAATTATATGTACAGTACTTAATGAATATATTCTATATGCTTCCTGCAGGGTTGAGAAATTCCTGATGAAATAACATGCACAAAGAAAACATACCTCACTCAGGACAAAATAAAACACTGGCTGCACGTTCACTTGTGTGTCAGACAGAGCCAAAGACATGGAGCCTCTTTCAGTACAGTGAGAAAGAAGAAGCTGCGAAAGCTGGATGGTTGAACATAATTCTTGAGGGATTTATACTGGCTGCATTATATGCTCAGTGTCTCATTGGACAGCTTTCATTTTCATTTATTGTGTAATCGATCCATTTATCATGTTATTTGGAGTGCACCACAGATGCAGACTCAATTAACAAAAATATCACCCTCTCTGCCATCTCTGTTGCTCAATGGTTCGCTTCCATTTCAAAACAGCAGATCAATAAAACATTTGCAAAGCTGAATCAAATCTGCAATAATCAATATTTGTATAGTAACTATGGATCAGATGACTGTATAAAGTGAAAGGGTTCACTCTTAGTGACAAACCCACTGATAGTTATCACATGACTATGCAGTTTTCCTCAGCTCTCCAGACTTGTGTTATGGTATGGTTCAGCTCAGTATTTTGGTTCACTCTTACTGCTCTCATTAACTTTATTTCCAGATTAAAACCTCTTTTTCAAGAGAGACCTGGCCAAAATAGTAGCATGTTGACATAGTAGAGTTACAGACATGAACACCAAACACACCCAAAAGTTGGTGACTAGCTGGTGAACACAAACATTTAGCAGCTAAATATTTCTGCAAGTTTTCTTTCCCTCCTTTGTTTTCATCCAGCAAAGATGTCGTTTCAAATTGTTTCAGCAATGTAGAGTTGGGGAAGAGGTTGGCTCATTAAGGGCACACATGGATAGCTGCATCTGTCAAAGAAATAAAATATGTGACAGCTCCTTTTATGTATAAGTTAAAAGAAAGCTAGAGAAACAAAATTGATGTCACACAAAGTGTCAAATTAAAATAAGAACAGAAACAGATTTTTTAAATTTTCAAGCAGATTTTATTTTCAAGCATAACATTTGATGGACTGTCAGAAGTAGACACAATTGATGTTGTGTTAACACTGCCTCTAAAACTACCAGTCCTGATGTGCCTCTGGTATTACAGTATATCAGTTTACAGAGCATTACATCACTAATGCAAATGCTGTACCAATGTTAATCCTCTTCTTCCTGTATGACTTCAGAGGGACATGGCAGGCAGACAAACAGAGGCTTTGATAAGACGCTGAGCTGCCTGTGGTTGGTTGGTTAATGTACCTGCTCTCCCAACCAATCTGTGCCAGCTGAATGTCAACCAAGGCAGGATTAAACATGCAACACACACACACACTGCAGGCCAGGTGTCCTCAATGTGGAAAAACCTGCTCAAAGTTGTCACTGACCTGTCTTCTGTGCAACAATTTCTACGACTAACAGAAGGCAAAATAAAAGACACAAGGCTGCTACAACACGATAAGAAACACCTTTTTCAGGTTTTGTAACCATGTCTAGCTTTACTATAAATATAGCAGAAATAAAAACGCAATTACACATTTTGTTCCCAGAGTCTAAAATAAATTATTGTGTTATTGTATATGTATAGTTCATGTGGGCTTATTATTGTAATATTAAATACATTAAATAATTTAAAGAATAACATTTGGGAAGGTAAGGAAATTATGACTTGTGAAAAATATATACAGTACATATTTTCCCCCTGTAGATTATTTTGTATATGACTGAGCTTAGCATAAAGACTGGCAACAGAGCTAGCCTGGCTCTGTCCAAAGGTCGAGAATCTGCCTACCAGCTCATTGATTAACATGTTGTATCTCGTTTGTTTACTCTGTACACAAAAACATGGACACTTTTTTTTCAAAACTTTGCACTCGATAAAGACTTTGTCAATAAAGAAGCTAAGTGTTGCTTACAGTATACTATCTGCAGCAAAAAACAGGCCATTTACACAGCCTGGATTATTATACAGTATTTAATACTACCAATAAAAATAAAAACTTTCAATAGTTCAGATGGATACCACACCAACAACATAAAGGTAAACATGACAGTCACACCTTGACCCTTTACACACTAAGACCAGAAAACCTTATATATTTACATGTCTTTCAAGTTGTCCTTCCTTGCTCTCTTTTATGTTATGCAGGACCACGATCGAGGTGTCACCAACTCCAAGAAAGTATTCTGTTGAGAAAAGTAGAAAACTTGTTTTGAATTTTCATACAGTGCTCCCCCTCCTCCTTCTAGTAACATCTGCAATCCTTTCATGCATTTTTATCTGTATGATTTAACGCCAATTCATTATCACATAATAATCTCATTTTCTGAACGTCACTTCTGTTTTTAGACAGCAGTTATCTGTGTTAAGCCATTGTGTGTGTGAATGACGCCACTGGCTTTGGAGGATACACAGAGATGCAGTAGTTCATAGTGGAATAAGTATGTTAAGTACATCTGCGCCCATCTGTCATGCAAATCCTTCACATCTGCGACTTCATCAAACGCTTGAGCTTTTTAAGGGTTAAATATGTGTCATCTTTTTACAAACGACAGTTACTCAACACAAGTGGCTCTCCTATGTGGGCTTATGTGTGTGAGTGTGGGTGTGTTATTGCTTTGAGAACAAGTTTATGCACATTATATGTGTATCTACACGTATGCATGCAGTCTGTGTGGTAACAGATGCTCATGAGTGACTAGAGATAAGAACAGGCGACCAAGCCAGACGATGATGAAAACAGTGGAAGGAGTTAGACAGATTCATCTGGTTACTGGCGTCTGTATGACGTCCAACATTAAAGTACTCAAGTATTAATCATGTAATGTAGTTTTTTCTAGTCTATTAGTCATAATGTTATTATATTTTAAGTAAATTTACTTGCCTATTCTCTATTTCAGCATCTCAGAAACTGGGGTTAAAGTACTGTCTAATGATGTCATTGTACAAACAAACTTATTTTAAAATCCTCACACATGCAGTCACATGGTATCTGTTTGTATGTCTGTTGCAATGTCTATTATGCAATATCTTGCTGGGCTTGAACACAATCCAGTAGAATAGTTCTTCAAGCCATTAAACACCATAATAAATCTCAGAAGAATCTCACAATGAAGTTACATCTTCATATTTTCTGCTGAACAAAAGGGTCATAAATTTCCTGTCAGGTTTTATTGATTTTATTACAGACGAAGTTTATTGAAATCTGACAGAAACAAGTTTCTTTTAACCCTCTTTTTTAGCAGCTATAAAATATAATGATGTGTGTCTTGCCCCACTGGACATGTGTAAACCTACAAAGAAGCTGTAGCACAATCTGCATTTAAGAGTAGAATCATCCAGATATGATGAAATTAATTAAATCTAATTAAAGTCTGATCATGGCATTGCTCCTTTCAGGCCTTCCTGTACTAACAATGTACATGTAGGTGGAGTACTTACCCCTGTCCGAGGGCATTGTATCTGGGCATACCACTCCTGACAGTACAGACACACCTGGACGCCCTGACCGAGAAAGAGACACGCCCACATGATGACGTTGAACACAGGGCTCTGTCGCTTGTCGTTCATGGTAAAGTTGAACACCACTAAGAGAGGAGCACAAGAGAAAATGTTGTTGTTGATTTTGCTGGGGGAGGGGGTTGTTTCAAGGCATTTCTGTAGTTAAACAGTGACAGTTCATTTGTGTAATTGCTGAGCTGTGAGGCCGCTAGTAAGGACAGGAACAGTAACAGTAAACAGAGCATGAAAGGTAAAAAACAAATGTTTTGAGATGACTACCTAGTGAGTCTGAGAGGAAAAGGACATAAAGTACTTTCTGTAAAAATGATGAGTCGTCCTCTGAAAACAGCTACTAAATGTGTGTTAGAGGGAATAATTACAGATTTTAACTCTAAAGGCTTGAAGGCACAGCCCAGAATGTAGAAAGGGGCATTTCCATATTTTTAACAAGCTATGCACAGACAATTGAGAGACAATGTTTCAACTACAGCAACGGTAATGAGGTTGGCAAGAAATGGTTCTCTCTCTTTTTCTTTCTCCATCTTGTTCTATGTTTTTTTTCTTTCCTTATTTGAAAGGCTAGTACATTTTTAAATGCTTTTTAACAGGCAGGTCAGAGCACCAGATACCAGCCATTTCTATTTATATCATTGTTAAGATTGTTCCCTGAATAATGAGTACAACGCTCACCTCCAAAGATGGCAAAGAGACAGAACATGACTGGATAAAAGAAGCCGAAGCCCATTGCCAAGGCGTACTCGTGGACGACAGCAGAGACGATGAACACGGAGACCATGGCAGCTGTTCGGAATTTCCTTTTCGACAGCTGCAGGGATCAGAGAAAGAACAGAGAGAGGGTTTTGGCTCAAAGTTCAGGGTTTAGGCTGGTTCAGTGGGGAATTTGTCTCACTAGAATTACAGGAATAGTGTCAAGCTACTATATGCACTTCATCATGTGACACGCTGCCTTGGAAAAACAGACCCAATGGGACGTGACATTGTGTTTAATATTATTTATATTTGCCGTAGTGGCACTCAGCTCACCCAGAGGAAGTCTCTGTATCCGTAGTAAAAGAGCCAGTCATGAACCACTATGTTCCAGGTACGATAATAGTTGGTGAAAGATGTGGAGTTCCACCAGTCCTAGAACATCAACACAAGGTAGAAAAATGAGTGTGTGGATAAAAATAAAAACAGAACGGAGAAGGATCACTTGTCAAATAATTCATAGTTCTTTTAGTTACATTTGGCCAAAGAACAACATTTGAAAACTAGCCTTTTTGCTAACACTGGAACAATTACAGTGATGTTGATCGATGTGTGTGACAAAAAGTAATAAAAGTTAATTTTAAAAATAGTATTTATTTTATATAATAGAGTTTTGGTTTGCACACAACATCATGACACATAATATGGCATTTCAGACGCCAAACAGATTTTTATTTAATTAGAACAGCGTACCACATCACCCCCCAAGTAAGAATTGGTCCGCTACCTCACAATTATACTTAAATTAGTCTGCCAATTTGAATTTAGTAACGTGAGAACAAAATCGGAGACTAAGTGGCCAAGAGCAAGAGCAAATGGGTCTTTTTAGCCTTGGTTTTGTCTCTTCTTCAAGAACAAACTGTATCAACAGATCATAATAATGGGAATGTTAAACTGTTTTGGGACCATCAGGCCACACTGCTGTAATTTCACTTGTCATTCATTTTCCCATACGGAAAAGCAAGCATTTCTGAAAATAAAGTGTTCACAGGAGAGGTGATGCCACACTAAATCAGCCATACCACACACCTTGTAGAACATTCTGTCAGCAAAACACAGCAGCTCTGCGAAGAGGTTGAGCCAGCAGTGCAGGAAGGCAAAGAAGCACAACAGAAGGAGCATTATACCTGAGACAGACAGACACAGAGAGAGACAGAGAGAGAGATTGGTTTATGAGGAACACTTTTATTTTGGGCATTGCTCCCAGCTTTCTCATAAGAACTGTAACTTGACACTGATGCTTTTATATCAGCACTTACTCATAAAGCTATTCACTTAAAGAGAGTAATAAATATGTCTTTGATTACCTGTACGTGATAGCATCTTTAATCTTATCACTGACTTAAAACACTAGAGACATTTCCTCTATGTCCATGTAAAGTGATATATTAACCAGTGCTGACTCATCCAGGTAAGAAGTAATAGAGGTTTGAAGCAGAAGTAATGTACAGATGACTAGTCACAGATGAACTTTAATTTATGCTTGTTTTTACACATAACTTCCTTCTAATATTGCCAGAAAAACTGTCCAAAAAACAAGCTCCATGTGGGTAGAGAGTAGAAAGTACAGTACCTGGTAATATTGAGTTGAACACAGCCAGAACCATTGTTCGTTTACTGAAAGGCTGATTGGTCGCATTGGGCACACAAAGGCGGACCAGGATGAAGTAGCCATAAAAAAGGCATCCCAAGATCTGCAAATTAAGCATTAAAATGTATTTTAAAAAGTTAATGGGAACCTGAGAAAGGAAATAATATATAGTGCACTCTTGATAATCAGCACCAGAAAACTGAAGATAGTGGCGTAATATAAGATATCAAAGATTAAAGCTATTAAGCGCCTGTAGTTTATGATTGCTTCACCTTATCATACTATACACAAGTACTACGAGCAACTTCTAGGTCAGATCTATTCTAGGTCACTGACCACACATAGGCTTTCTTAGTATATTCTATTACATACTTAACTAAAAGGTGATACGTGTGAAAATGAAAATGAGCTCTCAACAGCCCAAATAAAGGAATAGCTTCATCTTACCATACCAAGTGTGACGCCAACATACTTCCATCTTATGTGGGAATTCCTGCGAAGAACAGACAGGGTATGTCACTAATTCACAAATGTATGCTGTGAATTGTGCTTTGTGTGCATTTATACATGTTGTGTGGCCAAGCTAACGTAAACATTTGATTTCCTTTTAACTGCATCTTCCCCTGGAGGATGCCTTAGACAAATTATTTTCAATAAATTTTTTTATTTTATTTGCTGAGATAGATTCTGGAGCTGCAATGAATGCAAAATGCTACAACATTTCATCTAGTTTGTGGCACAAAGTTAACATGATGTCCACTCTGATACATGTTAGTAGCACTCACCACTACCAATTAAAATAAAAAACAAAGGATGAGTGAAAGGCAGCAAAGTGAAAGGGACAATAAAGTCTTACCGAGGATATGATTCCCTGTAAATGAGTGTTGGACAGAAGAGGAAGTAGACATAGCTGGAAAATGTCGGGAATCTGGGACTTTCTCCTGAAAAGCCCATTCAGACAGACAGTTCAGTATGTATGACCATCATCCAGTTTTGAGCACTGAAATAGCTTTCAGCCATCACAAGTTGCCTTAAAGGTTAAAAATAGCTGATTTAAGGTCTGTGGTTCAGACATAAACTTCTCCTTTAATTTTTCTTGTTTCATTATGTTGCATAATACAAGCCATTAACGGTTCCATCTGTGAATTCAAACGCCTTAATGTAGAGACCAGGAAGCAAATGGCTGTCTTTAAAATTAAACGACAGTGAGTTTATCACAAATCGTTAAGCCATTACGTTAAATTGTCTGCCTCAAAGCCTCCAATCTCTTTTACTGAATTATTAGCTGTACTTTAGTCAAGCTTCTACTTTACACTAATAATAATGACATTTAAAAATGGTAGGTTTTGCGAAAATCACATTTAACAGAATCATAAATCTGTGTTAAGCAAGGAACTTATTTTCTGTCAAAACCACATTGAGACCACGGACACTTCTATAAAGCCAATTTTCTTTTTTCTTTTATATCATTTTATACACTTAATAGTTTTTGCTTGGAGCCATTTTACTGCAGCGAATAAGTTTTCATGCTCAGTACTATAAGTTTATTGTCAAAGGAGACACATTCTGCAGCACTGACAGACTTTTACAGTAGGATCTCATGGGGATGCACATACTTGAGCTTAAATATTGTTTGTGGGTGTATTCATTGTTAGGTCTAACTTCAACTTGAATCATTTGGTGGTAGCCTGCTGAGCTCTCTTTTAGTCATTTTTCTCTGGTGTCTGGCAGTGTCAGTGTGAGTAATTACACTGCTTGAGGCGTAAATACACCTGACATCAATACGATACAGTACATTACCTTCCTTTGGTGTATTCTTCATAATAACAGGAGCAGTTTCTCTTATTAGAGAGTAGCTTTTCATCAGGAATCGAATCTGAGGAAAATTGATACAGTTATTATGTGAAGTGAAGCACAATGTATCAATAACAGCTTCTACATTGTCTGTCTTTATTGCATGAATTGACAAAGCGTCTCATGTGTCTGTGTTAGAACATATTGACCCAGTGATGTATTGTTTAGTTGTTTGTTCACTTCTTCTGTAATTAATCAGGAGGAAGAACAACAAAAGGGAGTGATATAGCAAGACAGGGCAGACAGAAGCACAATTGGAGAAGTTGTTTATCGTTTTGAGCTCATCATAAACTGCAGCTCTGCCACAGTCTGTCTCTCTGTCCCTCCTCTTCAGCCCCTTTCATTGCCATTTTCTATCCGTCCACCAGATGCCCTTGGACTTTATCTCCTTTCCACATCACCTGACAGTCCCACCCATTTACAGGCCAGTTCCTACTTCTCCTATGAGCCCTGCAGTTACCTGACCTTCCCTGCTCCTGTTTTCAGTTCCCCTTGTCAGCCCTGCAGTACGTAACCAGGAACCCAGTGACCTGTACGTGCCTGCCCTTCTTCTTGATTAGTTGGACTTTGGGTTTGCCACTGCTCCTTGTTGGATTTGTCTGTTTTGGCCTGCCTCACCATCCCATAAACTGTATTTTATGTGTAAATAAAACCATTGAACTGCACTAGCTCTACCTCTGGCTTGTGCTTTTGGGTCTAATCCCGTATATCCCTGCGCTTGCACTAGCCATGACAAGTTTAGACATATGTCGCCAATCTGTAACAGGGAATCTATTACAGGGAACCACTAAATTAATCAAAAATCAATATAATACAGTTTGTATATTGAATGAACAGGATCAGAATTAAAAATAGACTGATTGGACCCAGGTCAGATAAGGATCAGGACTGGGTTTCCCAAAAGCATCTAAGCACTGGGATTATCTCACTCCATCAAATGGAGCTGAAATGATCTTAGCAGTAAGACGGTTTTGGGAGGCCGGTGTAATAAAGAGGATGAGGAGGTATTACAGTATGGGTTCATAATGTTTAAATGTTGGCTACACTTAGATCCACTATCTTTTAGTGCCTTTCCAGCTGTAAGGCTCCCATCTCTGGCCAGCAGGCTTTTCTTATCGCAGTGTTCCTGCTGATGGCAATGAAGGCCTGCATTTAAAATTTGGATTGCCAATGAAAATATTTCAGGATATTTCTAGCACAGGTCATTTCTAATAAGAGTTTATATACTTGGCATTTATTTTATTAGTTTTATTGCAATAAAAACACTTTAATCTTACTGCAGAAGTCATTAAAAGAAGAGTGATGCTATTTGGAACTGTAAAAAACGGACATTGACTTATTAATGCTTCATTATTTGCCTTCCAGCTGACTAGTAACATCTTAGCACATTCATACAAGTGTACTACAGTTACGAGACCTTTACCATGTGTCGGTAGCTCGGTAAGCTTGATATTACAAGAGCAATACCGAGCTTACTGGTCTTGCATAGCTCTAATCATAGTGTGTTAACAGCTATTTCTGATTCTATGATGACTTTAAGGGGTATAAGTTCCTTCAGCAGATGGAGGTGGCAAGTAGATAGAATAAATAATGTTCCATTGTGCCATTTGTTACATACATCTAAATAACATCATAACAACATATCACATCTTTAATATGAAGGCAGTAGAGTTTGGAGAAATAAAAAAAAAAGATATGTTGCCTCTGTAGTCAGCCTAATTGCTCTCCTGTTTACTGTGTGGCATGACTGTACTCCAAAACACTTTTTCTCACGAAGTGGTGTAGCTGAAAGATTCAAGGTGTTGTCTGTATTCATGAGTATAAAAGACAATTACATTTAGACCTATACTGTTTGCCAAAAGTCTCAGAAATAGCAAGATTGAACTTTATGCTTTCTCACTGCATAGCCTATTCATGCCTCTTGTTCATGTCTATTATTCTATTACCTGAGGTGATGTCTTACACGAAGGGAACTGTGTAATCTGCTCACCCGTACATATTTCTTATGTTTAGTACGATTAGATATCAACTAATACTGGATTTTTGAGGCCAATACCTATATCAATATTTCAGACTGTAATGGAGACATGGTTTCATATTTACTCCAAATATATATCCTCATATCTGCTTTTCCTCGTTAAGAATCGGCGAACATACAGTATATCCCAATACGTATAAGCAAAAACTGGCAGATAAATCAATAAGGCTCTATGGAATTTTCACTGAATATGGCTTGAGGCAGTCCAAAATCTTTGCACCCTGTTCTTATTAATGTTACAGTAGGAAGTGAGCACCTCCCATCATTCATCTGCTGGCGTCATAAGCTAGTTGATATTCACCAAACTCTTCTATCTATGCACCCAACAAAATGATTTATTCCTTAAACACACACACACACTCACCTGCTCAAGTATCACAATGAACCGTGAGGCCGGTGGGAGCTGGTAGTGCACAACGGTGTAGATGGGGAATAGTCCCAGTATAAAGGTCTGCACTGCGGAAAGGACCAAGCCCGTGACAAGAGAAAGCCCCAACTTAGAGGGGAAGCTGTGGTACAAAGATCCCCAAAACACCAGGGTGTAGTAAGGAACAAACAGGGTGTAGGCAAACATCACAACCCAGGCCCAGGTGACAGTCCCCGGCTTCCCAAAGGCGAAGAACAGCAGGTCGAACTCCAAGACCAACCTGAGATTGCAAAAAAAACCAAAAAAAACACACATATTACTATCATTACACTAAGAAATTTATTATCAAGAACAGAATTAAAGGCTGATTGTACTTCCTAAGGCAGGTTGATTAAATTTCCAAATAAATAATTGCAAAAATTAAGTTGACATGAAGGACATTTAAGTGAAGCACTCTATTAGCCACTGTGGTCTGTTTTTGATTTAAACAGGGTTTTGAATAACATTAAAGCATGACTGGCTTTAATAAATGGCAGCCATAGTTAAATGAATTGAATATTTTCCCATCTGAAAACAATCCTATGGTGATAATAAAGATAATTCATAGATTGATGTTAAAAGATTAGTTTAATTCAACATGCCCATTTGCGAGTGCAATATTAGTATTTTTTATTTCAATTTACCCATATTATAATCAATATTAACTGAAGGTAGAGGTATTGATTAATTTGCACACATTGAACAGTCGCCCGCTGGCATTTGCTTCCAGTAAGAATTGAACTCATAACCCTGTGTCTGCAACCAGCAACCACATCATTATTGAGCTGCCCAAAGCAACAGCAGAAATACTCAGAGGAATTGATTGCTCTATCTTTCTGCTGCCAGACGAGCAGGGAGGGGAGGAGGGAGGGCACAATAGGGAGTTAAAGAACATAAGAAGTCAGTAAGAAGTTTTAAAAAGGCTTCAGGGTAATTAGATTTAGTTCGGTGTCTTGGAGTTTGAGACATGCCAATGTCACAAACACACATACATGCACATGCCACACAGACCTGCCCTGGTCGATGTAGTCGACAGCCAGCGTGCTCATACAGAAGATGAGGAGTATGGCTATGAACATGTGGTAGATCGTCCTGATGTGGCTGATCTCAAACAGTTCACTGATGAAGAGGAGGAAAAGAGAAACTTAAACATCATTCATTAAAATAGCTCTATGTTGTGTTCTTGCGTATATCTTCTGTGCTGAATGAATGTAATCATCTATAAAACATGCAAACATGTCAGCAGGACAATATGTATGATCTGTATTTGTATAACATGGAATTATTATACACTATATTATATACTTCTTGATGTATACTGTATGCAGACCACATAACCACTGATCTCTTTAGATTCAGATTAAGAGAAATCTGAATTCCAATAAATACACAACATACAAGAGGGGTTTAATTTAAGTTTAAATACTGTTTTTGAAAATCATATTTTGTAAAGACACCACCCCGATGAAGGCAAGATAAGTAAAAAACATTTGCTACTTTTATTTGTCTTATGTGATCGTGAATTGAATATATTTTGGTTTTGGACTGTTGGTCAGACTAAAGAAGACATTTGACGTTGTGGCTTTGGGCTTCACAAAATTTGTCATGGGTCTTTCTCGGTATTTTCTGACATTTTATGGGCCAAACAATTAATCAAGAACATTATCTGCAGACATACTGTGTAATGAGAAGAATCATCAGTTGCATTCCTATATTGAAATTCACACTTGTTCTTTTCAATCTTTTATACTTACTCCAACATCGATGGCCTGTCCATAAACACTTTGCCGTCATCCATTCTCTGAGATCTAAAACAAACAACAGAAAAAAGGGACACACAAACACATTTTACTGCAGTTAATGAGAAGATAAATAAATCTCCTAGATCAATTAGGAATACTTTGTGCACTAGAAGTTGGCTCTTCCTCCTCCTCCTCACCTGGATGAGGGTTTTTGTGTCATCTTTCCATTAACTGGCTGGATTTGGGTGAAAGGTGGGACGGACTCAGTCAGAGCTTTGTCTAGTATATCGCTGAGCTGATCCTGGACCTGCTCCAGGACTTTCACTTTCACCTTCTACAGGAGGACACACAGGAAATTTTGTTTTATCTTTCTCAACTTATAGCCTACTCTCTAATTCTACAGTACAGTACAAGTTGCATCCCATATTTTGCACACATAAAATGCTCTGTATCCTGTTTACTCAGATGCATGGCCTTGGCGTCTGGATGATCTCTTTCCAAATGAGTAAGACAGAGGAGGGACAGCATAATTGAGGGAGTGTTGTGTTGGTTGAGATACTGGCTTAGAGTGGGGTTATGGGTTACCTGTGCATGTTTCTGCCAGTGTCTTAGATAGTCTTCCTCTACATTATTATGGCCACCAACTGCAGAGAGAAGAACATCAGTTGCATAAGATTATAAACCAGTGCAATATACTGTACATATTGCACGTTAATTAAGATTCAGTGCAAAACTAAGGAGAGAAAACTAAAGAGATAAATGGGAATCCCACAGTCTGCACATATTTCTGCATTAATCCTAAATATAGCAACTTAAGAAATTCTAAACTTGGTGCAGTGGGCTTTTTAAGAACTGCAGAAATCCCCAAACATATTGAAAAGTATGTAATCTGTAGGACTGTGGAATTCTACAATAAATGCGCTTGTTTTTCTTGCGCTCACCTTTCCAAAACATATACTGTATATATTGAAATGTATTTATGTTTGTAAGTACACAAACAAATATGCAAAAATAAACCCAAAACAGCAAACAATGCAATGATGCAATTACATAACACAAATAATAACACAAATGAATAGATTCTATAAAAGGATCAGCATGTAAATATATTGTCCGTACCATGACTGGAGATTTCATCTGACTCAATGCACTTCGACTGGGCCTTGATTTTTCGGTGCAACAGTCTGTTAGGTGGCTCAGCAGTCGTCATGGTTACCGCTGGTTCACCGCTTAGGAATATCTGCTAGGATTTAGGTGGACAATCCTGTGTATTTCAAAGTTGTAGTTGGTCTCACACTCACACACACGGTTGGTTCCCTGAGGATAAATTATGGAAATTAAAAACTAATAGCAGTTGACCTTTATCAATACAATTTGGATGCACGGGCTCAGCTCCTGAGGAAAATCCATACTAGAGCACTTAGAGCTGAAATATCCTGGTGCATTGCCCTTTGTGGACTGAATCACCCCAGTCAGTGAAAACAACTCCCTTTTTTGCCCCTTAAAGTGCTGTGATGTCACTGGGCACTGTCACATGCTCAAAACTTTCAACTCATAGAGGGCAGAGCAGCAAAAGTTTTTACTCTATGTGATTCACTTTGAGTTTATCCTTTCTTGAGATTCGACAATGTAGACTTGAGAATCTTCAACTATAAATTGAGAGATTAAATGAGGTCACAGGCCCATTGCTGGCAGGTTGCCTCATGCTAAAAAGCATTAATATTCCTCAGTCCTCAGTCCCAAGGAGGTGAGTTTACTTGTGTAAATTCCAAGGGTGCACAGACTCCTGGTCTGAATGCAGAAACATATACAGGTCAGGGGTTTTGTATGGTAGTTACCTACAGTGCTTCTCCATAATAAGAGTGTTATCACCGGCCATTGTAGCTCAAGCTAAACACTGTAAAGAAAAGATAAAGCCTGTCTAACTGTCCCCTGTGGAAGTTCACACACCATAGATAAGACTGACGTAGAGGTTGTGTAGAATATACTTCCAAGGAGGGGTAAACGACACAGAGTGACCTCCTTTTCTAATCCATGCTATTTGATCACTCCTCAAGAGAAATGTCAATACAGCAGATAAGCTTTGCACAGATATCCAGAGTATACATCCTGTGGTTGTGGATGATGAAACGGCAGAGAAATAGATGAAGTAAAAACATGTTTTTGAGTAGATCAACTTTTTTCCTTTGCATGCTTCGGGTAAGCTGACGGTGAGGGATCATGCTTAGTCACTCGCAGCCTGTCTAACTTTCCTCTCAACAATTTAATCATTAGATAAAGGTTCTCATTTACACGCGGTTGCTATTTGTAATGGGAATTAATGAAATAATGAATCAACTTATTTCAAGGACACCAAGTAATAACTGCACCAAATTGCCTCAGTCAAACTGAGAATACATTTTTTGAGGCCTATAATATTATTGAATCAATCTTATTGGACCAGTTTGAAAAACATAATGTCAGTGTCATCACCTACGAGCAGTTAAAAGAGACAGCTGTTTAGCATTATTGTATATTGTTCACAAATGTCCGTTGATTAAATAACAACTTCCCTTCAGAACGAATACTTAACCTGGTCATGATTTCTTTTCAACACTGATGTATGAGTAGGCAACTTTTCTTACACTTCTCACTGAAACTGAGAAACTTACATTTCAGCAGTCACAGTTCACCTTAATCTGTACTTCTGTAGATGACAGGTACAGATGTACCAGGCAGATGTGACACCCATGCTAAACATTTGTCATTGTGTCAGATTAATACTCACACAGTCTTCTAGCTTGGGGCCCAGTCAGCAGTCCACAGGGTGCGACACACTGCTTCAATCGATGATTCCCGCTGAGAGAGAGTGAGTTGCTGGAGTGGTTTTAAGTAAGTCTGTGTGTCACAGTTCTTGTGATCTCTGTCCTCTGCTTTCCTCAGCTGCTATTTTGCACTTTGCCCTTTTGGCTCCTGGTCCTGAGTAGGACAGGTCATCCTCAGCTGTCCAACCCCCTACTTGGCATAGCTGAATGGATTCTCAGGTCAAGGTTTTCTACAAGTGCTCAGTCTTGACTCAGCACTTTAAAATATACATTTGTGCTGATTTTCAAAAGTCCCCCTTCACTCAGAAACATGTTTTGCTTAATGTTGCTTCATGATGTTTGACTTTGACACAAAATATTTTTTGAAAACATTTTAAAAAAGTATCTTTAAAGATGACCTTCCAGCAGGAATATAAGTATTTGAAAACTTTGTTCTTTTTCTCAAAACTTTTGCTGGACAATTTTCAGGCTGATGAGAAGCAGTATAAGTACCTTATAAAGTCACAGCTAAGACAAATACAGGAAGACCAGTCATACATGGCGTAATAAAAATAAATGAGTAGAATGATGGCAAAGGTCATGTAGTCTGTGGCCAAATGCACATTGTTCCATGAAACCATGACAGGTTTGTTTTGTGCCCTAGTTTTTAAAAAGTGTTTAACTTGGACAGCAATTTGGAGCAAAGTGAAATGACAGCAGTATACACATGCTTAGAAGAACGTTTCTGTTTAAAGTAGCATTTTATATTGGGGGTGTTCTAGTGAAAAACTGGTTAACTAATGAGGAGCCTGTGCATGAATTAAAATGACAAAAATACAGGAAGCACAAAGTGCATGAATTTTACATGGACACAAGAACAAAAATGATGGGTTTAGTGGAAGAGAGGGATCAAACTCAAAATACATCACCATCATATCAACGTAATTCTTTGTTATTTGCACAAAACTGTTAAACTGTTAAGTTATAATGATTATGCAATTGATTTACATAAACATATCCGCCCCGTTAGCAGCTGAAGGTAGACCTGACTGTGGGTGAGGGGAGCTAATATTTCATTTAATAGAAAAGATGGACCCACCTCTTGACTTAGAATAAACTGAAGTACACTCCCCCCAATATCTTAAGTCAATATATTTATGGCAAACATAACAAAGTGATTACAATACAGACACTCTCATTTTTCTTAAATAAATTATAATTTCAGTATTTCTTTTTTTAGTATAAGTGGAAATATTTGCTTAATGTGCCTTTTCAAAGTGCTTGAGGGTAAAAATCACATAATTAGAGTAGCAGAGTAACAACAGACAGTGTAATAATGATATGTACACAGGATCATCTTTATTGAAGTGGCTTTCATGAGATAACAGTAATGTTTCTCAGCTCAGCTACAGCAGAAAGTAGTGCATGCACTAAATCACACGCCATAAACAAAACAACCAACGCACAAATGTACAAACAGACACCTGTTTTTTTAAATCACCCAACCATTCTTGTCATAGTTGTACTTCTGCATATTTAGGCTACATCATCACATTTTATTAACTTTCCATAATATTTTCTAATTGGTTACAATTACTATAATACAAACAGATAAGACAGGGAAAATAATCTACACTCAATCACCCGAACGCAACAACCATAGTGCATGTCAGAAGAATAGTCAGAATAGTTTCTTTGTAGATTTCATTGATGAACAGCAGACTGGCAAAAAAAAGGGCATTTACATTCAACTCATGGTTTCTACAGGTTATGTAAACACACTCAAATTCAATGAAAATGTTGTTCAAGTTCAATAACCTTTACGACCCTTTGGAGAAAGTCTACTGAAGTCTTAGATAATCAGTGAAAAGGCTTAAAGCATAAAGAAAAGCGCGTGATAAATTACTTCATGTATGTCTGATGAGCCTCAAAATAATGACAAGTGAGTCTGTTGGTTTAGATTACTAATATAATAATTCAGTATATACAGGGTATCAATACATTACTTACTGGGTAACTATATGGGACAAATATAGGAAAGAGTAAGAGGTTAAGGGAACAACTTTTTGTTGTACCAGTACCGCAATGAAATAAGTTATGGTTTCATTTATTTTGAAATGATAATATCTTAACAAAAACAATTTAGTTTGGAAATTACATTGTAAAAACAATTTAAATACTTTCAGTTAAATACTTATTATTAAAAACATTATTATTAATATGATGTGCACTACATGTTGTTGGGGAACAAACCATTAGGTTAACCAGTAAAACAAAAAGGCAATTAAAGTGTAATTTATTTCTAAACAAATTTGTAACCGCCTGTTGTACCTCTTTCCTCGTGCCTATCCATTAGTTACCCCATAAGTATGTAATTGGTACCTCTTATGTACAAAATATTTACACTGTAATTTGCAGGCTGTAATCTAAAGCGTTATTGAGGGGTGTACTACGAAGTGAGATTAAGCCATACAGTAGTAGTGCCACTTAACTAAGCTGTGCAGTTAGAGTAGCACAAACTGTTTGCATCGAGTCGCCTCCTGAACCTACATGGACTCAGTTGATAGAGACATTTTTTCCCCTGTTTGTTTAACCCTTTAAATTTAAAGGTAAAGGCAATTTATTGTCATTCTCTGAATTTTACCCATCCCTCAAGGGAGTAGTGGGCAGCCGCTGTGCAGCGCCCGGGGACCAATTCCAGATCTATATCAGTGTCCAGTCAATGTCACTGACTGAAGAACTTAACATGTTTTACACAGCATATCACCAACACTCGAATATTGAATATTGAAGGCAGAGCAAATACAGACCACTTCGGATGATGTTTTTATGCTCGGTCCTGATTTGCTGCCATGTCCGTTTCACATTGCTGGTATTGCAGCTAATAGAACACTGATTAGAAAATTGATTAGTCTATTGTTATTTATCATGCATAATATTAAATCCATAAAATTCATCTCACTTTCATCACGCAAAATTAAAATGATTTCTGCGTATCCTTCGTTTTAGGACAGTGTCAGATCTAAACGCAGTCCTTGAGTGCAATGTTTAAATATGCTCTCTCAAGTTTAGAGTTTAAGAGCTTCACAAGGTGCAGCTGTCACGTTAGAAATAAAAGGGAGGCCTTATTTGCAGCAACAGTGAAGCTTTTTGTTGTAATACTTTTTAAAATATTCTTCATAGCTTTCCATTTTAACAACCGGTTGCTGAAGGCGGCGGCATGCAATTGGTCCATTTTGAGTGGAAGAAGAGTCTAAAGACGTGCCAAACGCCCCCTTTTGAGGGAAGATGCACAGAGCCTGATGAAGAAATCGATGGGTATTACAACGGTGGTCATCAACTTTCTTTGTTACTAGGTTAACAAAGAAAGTTGAAGACCACTGTCGTAATACCCATCTACACCCCGATATATTTTATGCTTTGTCGCGCCAGATAACGTAAAGAAAGCCTGGCTGTGTCGAACTTGCTTCGTAGTACACCCCTCTGGTCTGTTTTGTTAAAAGGATCCCAGAAAATCCAAAAGTAAGAGACTCTGCCAAGAAGATACAGCTCCTCTTCTCTCTCAAAATACACACATGCATACATACACACACACATACATACAGTCCCTCAACTGTCACCCTTCACTCTCTCATCCTGACTGGCTGATCAGGAGGTCATCAGAGAGTTTGATGGGACGCCAGGAGTGACTCTGCTCAGAATGCACCCAAGTAATACAGGGTATGCAATATCTCTCTGTTTTGGGGTCAAAGGTCAAACACCTCATTTGTTGATGAGGTGCTTTATCTGAGGGTATGTCAGAGGGATAAGACGAGGCTGTATCAGCTCTTGATAACTTATAGTAACCCTTGGGTTATGTCTCCATCAGAGCTTACATGGACTATTGCAGAACAAGATCCTCTTTAAATGACTCATTACAACTGGGGCTTTGGTTTCAGTCTGAGATGATGATTAGCCACCTCCTAAACAAATTCACATTGGAACAGCAACTGCACATATGCACCCATTTTTCACAACAGTGGAAATCTGAAATCTAGAGCATTCTGCAGTGTAAGAAACAATCTCACCATGATACATTTGCACATAAAAACAAATGATATTGATTCACATTCCCAAACTGCTATACATTGAGAATAACTAGCAAATAACTAACATTAGAACAAAATAGAGCAAATGATAGGTAATATTTTGTCTTTTAAACTACAACTAGCAGTATAAAAATATTTGTTACACAATTCTTTTTTTCCATTCTGTCATTCTTTTGGTTTACATGACAATGACTGAATATCACACATAACAATCCCTGACAGGCAGCTTTTGTAGGGATAATGTACAGCTTAAAAGTCTCTCTACTACGAGTATGTTTTATTTTAAACAATGTTCTAACCAACTCCCTGTTTTAACACTATGGTTCTTTCTGCCACTACCAGAGCCATCTGATGCCTTAAGATTTCAAAGCTCTTAATCTAACAAGAGGAAAAACAGTGTCTGAAATATATCCTCCAAGGGTACCAAAATATAAAACTGATGTGTCTGATGAAGAGTCTTGAGGAGTTACATACTGTACTGTATGTATAAACTTAATCCTTTGTTAAATTTGATTAAAGACGGTCAAATGTCAGAAACCATCTATTGTGTAAATAAAAGCTTGGCCAAGTTGGAACTACTGCAGGTCTGTGTATGTGTTTTTTTAGTTTTGTGTGTGTGTAAGTCTACCTACCTGGCAACAGCAGTTATGGACTATATTGTTACTATGACTACTAACGCTCTTTCGAAGAATTTAAATTGCAATTAGCCTGATATTTTGGGAATCAACAGTAAAGAATCACAAATTAGTGATTGCTTTCAGTTTGGACTGAAACTGAACTTTTAAAAGCTTGCTTTAAATGACAAGTCTGGTGATTCTATATTTTTCTATTCTATTGTGAAGACAATAACCAACAATGAACTACTACTACTAAGTATTGCAATATGGCATCTAAAGCCTGACTTACAGTAGCTTACAACATGTGCCATCAACCTCCATTCTTTCCAAATAACACATCAATGAGCCACTTTGATGCAGTGGATAACATTTCTTCATCCCCATGAATATGTGCACTGTATTTTACTTTGTCAAAATCAAAAATACACCATCCTGCTTCTGTAAAAACTCACTAGTGCGCCAAATGTGAATTAATCCGCGGCTGAAAATAGTCCCCAACAACTGTGCTATTTACTCATGTTTGAGTAATGCTTGCGAAAAACTGCAGTGCCCAGCTGTTTTAGGAAATTACTGAGGCTTTTTCAAAATTAAACTATATACGGAAGTCCTGTTTGTAAAGATTTACATCACTTGGCTTGTGACTGAGAGCCACAGGCAGGCTAACCCAATACTGAGAGGCAGAGTAATGCATTGATGGTTTTGGTTTTGCTTTTCATAGGATTTTTTGACAATAACAAAGGTATTGAATAATGCCTTTAAACAGACTGCATTTCCCATTTACACTGGCTTCCAGTACTTCTCCTGTACTGGTGTTTAGACTGAAACATTTTATTATAATGTTGCCCCACTTGCTCTCTTCCTCTTTATTTTTTTTCCGAGAAAAAGCTAGACCAACATCAAAAATCAACATGCACAGTCAAAAGTATTTATATTAGTAAAGTGAGCTTGAGGATCACGCTGTTTTCATGTGTTTTAACACAGTTTACCTTGGAGTTTTCAGATCCATATGCATGTTTAGTAATAAAAATAATAATAATAATAATAATAATAAAGACCTCAGTTTAAAGTTGTATGAAAGTACTGTTTTTTATGTCCAGTGTGATCCCGTCACTGAGAGAAACAGCACACCCTAGTGGTTACCTACAGCACTGCACTTTAATAAGGATTATTATTACTTTCTCTTCTCCGCCTTTCTATTTGTGGTCCCTTTGTTTTCCAAGTCATGTGGAGGGTGTGCAACAAAATGGGTATGAGCTGCCAGATTGGGAATTTGAGATGCAGTGCTTGGCATGGATCCTACCAATTCCCACATACACCCCGTGTCATTGTACAGCAAGGAGAAGGGATTGAAGAGGAGCAAGCAAAGGGAGGAAAAGGGACACAGGAGAGACAGAGGTCTGTTTACAGCAGGTGAGGATGGGAGAGGAAGGAGAGGCTTGGAGGACAGTGATCAGCTGCATGCAGATTTACAGAGGAGGCCTCCGAAGAAACGTCTGCCTGGAGAGAGAGAAAGAGAGAGAGACAGAGAGAGAGTGGGAGAGAAAGAGAGAGGGAGACAGAAAAACAGAAAGTCGGAGTGACAGTAAGATATATTTCAGAGAAACAGGGAGTCGGCAGAAAAGAAGAGACAGCAGCCAGTGAGTCATGCTAACATTGCCAGAAGGAATACGTCTCGAGTCATTTTATTTCTGGTGTCTTTACTGAGAGTTAGTTGTGTTTGGGAACTGCATGGAACACTCTGGGGCCATATTTAGACTTCAGACAATGTAAAATTCACCAGCACTGTGCAAAACTTACATTTACCCTGCAGAAAACTTCATGTCAGCTTATAGAGCTTGAAAAGTTAGAATAGCTTTTGCATTTCATCATTATAACACTTCATACAGCAGTCCTCAATCTGCAGGTTGAGTGTTATACAGAGTGTGAGCACTTTACACATTACTAGTTTTGCCTAAAGTAGAGCATGACTACGGTTTGAATTAAATTATAGTTCCAGTTCTGCAAAAGAATTCACTTCACCGTTTTGTCCCTGTGACAGGTGGCGTTGAGTATTATTAACTTTAATACATTAAAAAGGCAACCAAATGAACCCTGTGATAGTAAAAGTAGTGGGATGAAGTAAAAACCCAGAGCCGGTGATCATTTAATTCCTCTTTTTCATTTGGGTCTTTCTCAGAGGAATATAATTTATAATGTATAATCTTTAACTCTCCACTGGGATTTATGAAGTGATTCCAAAAAAGAAAATGCTGGTCAGAGACAGATGCTGTTTGTTGGATATTTTTGTGTAAAGTGTGTCATAGTGCAGTCTGTGAGTGTAGGTACTTTTAGTGTAGTGTAGGCCCTAGAAAAAAAATCATCCCCTTCACCCTGGCAGGGTTTCTGCTCTCACACAGGGTCTATTCCCTATAGATCCATTCTGATTGTATTTTAACGTACCATCAAGTTATTGCTGAAAAAAGTTACTTTGCTGTGAATGGAAACATATCAGTAATAAAATAATTTATTCACTTCTATTTTTCCATTAATAAACCCAGTTTCAATCTGAATTTTATTCCAGTAATGTTTAATGAGCAGCGGGGCTGTTTTCTTCAATGCCCAGGGCCCGTTTCAACATGCAAGCTGCAATTTGCAGTATGAGATTCCTTTCCTGTTAATTTTTCCATAATCAAAACAGAAATCATACTTGCAACCCATTGACTCATGACTCACAATCACATGTGAGATTTGATGTTGCCATTATTTGTGATCGTGGTGTAAGCAGGGCTTACTGCTTTTTGTGAAACGGGCCCATAGTTCTCAGAATTAACATTGACATTGTAATTCACATACATAAATTTGTATGTAATCACTGACACTTAATTTTACCATTTGACCACATCCTATACAATTTTAATTGAAAAACGCTTTTAAATCACCATCGTATGAAGTGCATTTTAATCAAAGTCATAACGTTTAATTCAAGCTTTCAGGTTGTCATAACATTTGGTTATTCATGAATTTAAGCTCACAAGTCCAGTACAAATGGAAAATAGCAATTTATGGAGGAAAGCTGCTCATGTAGCTTAAAGGCTCCATCTATTCTTTATGTGGAGTAAGGCTTTGACTGTTAATTGATTGTGCGGTTACTTGTGAGACTTGTAAGGTAAATTACTCATTTTTGACCTATGACTCATGAACCGGTATTCTGTAGCGAATAAACTAAAGAGTCGATCTGTCTATCAGTGTTCTTACCTGCTCAGGACTATTAGCTGGCTGAAGTCTCTGGCTGCAGGCTGTAGAGTTTGGCTGGATCCTGATTGTCACATATGTCAGTTCTGGACACAGAATTGACATTCAGACACATGCTAACCAACACACCAGAATCATATAGGTTGGCCACAGCACCCCGTCACCAGATTCATCCGCAGCAGCAGCAGCGGCAGCAGCAGCAGCAGCAGTAGCAGCAGCAGCAGCGGTGGCAGTGACAGCAACAAGGGGGCAGTGGTGGAGCAGAGACACCGCAGTGAGGGAAGCAAATCAGTGATTTACAGTAATTGGTGTTAAAGCGGGGGGGGGGGCTTCAACATGTCCTGACAGCTGCTTATCTGCTAATAAAAGTAAATATTTCAGGGCCTTAAGTTGAAGCCAAACTGTTGTTAGCCCATCATACAAGGTTCAAAATATATCCTAAATTTCTACAAAAGCTACATATTAACAACAAACACCAGCAGGTGTTTTGCAGTAATTGAAGAAGGTGCACCAGTCTTACCTGTTGTCATTGATATCTGTAGTGTTTCCTGTGGAAAGAAAGAGGTGCATAAGGAGGCAGGCAGGTGCACAGTGAGAGGGTTGGTGGTGTGTAAATTAGGGAAGAAGTGGGTTTATCACAGACACATATGAGTTTAACTGAAACAGCCCAAAGCCATTGGAGACAGATGACTTTAGAACAAGCAGCTGCATAATGTGTTTGTTCTCAGACAACAAGTCTTTATACATGAATGACTGAATAGGTTGTTTGTCAGGGCATATTAAAACAACCCGTTTGTGCATTTTATTGATCTGGAAACCCAATCAGCTTGACAAAGACACAGCAACAGCACAGCCACAGGTTTAGGCTATGGTTATGGCGAGGCAAAGATCATGGTCATTAAAACATGGTTAATGTGTGGTGAAGTTTATACAAGTAAAATCTATTTATTAGGGTCAGAAACAGATGGTGGTTATGGTGAAAAGGACACCTATCCAACACCTGCTCCTGAAGAGTGTTTGTAGGTCTATAAAAACACAAGCTACTAAACATAAACATGTGTAATTTTGTGTTTTCTATATTGTATATGTAATTTCTGTTGACTGACTGTTTACACAAATGACCAATGTTGGGGATTTTATTTGCACAACAACAAAATATTGTTTGTCAGGAAAATGTAAACATGGCTTTTATACTATTTGAAGAAACAACCGTTTTTCAGATTTTTCTACCACTATTACTAGCACAGCAGATAATAACAATAACAAAGTGCTACAACTTTTAAAAGTCCTCCCATCCAGAGAGGTTCTTTGCATTAGCCATTGTCCTTACAGGTAGACCAACAGTACAGCTGGATCATAGTTACATTCTGTGGAGCCCCAAAACTGCATTAATTTCCCAGGTGTTCGTCAAGCAGCTACTGTGTTACTATAATCCTTAGATGCCTTTGCTTTCCCTGAACTATACCATACATACTATACTGTACTGTCAGTACTATACTACTATATACTATTCACTTGGCTTTTTACGTGACCCAGCATATTCACAGCCAGACATATCATGAAGTGTCAGCTGTTTCTCAGTCTCCAGCTACTGGGAAGTGTGTGTGTGCATGTGTTCATTGTTATTCATGGGTGACAGTTTACTTAATTTGTGTGCTCTTTGCTTCAATTTGATGAGTTGGCAATTATCAAGGGACCTCATGCTTGACTGGATTATGAGGCTGTTCAGTTTAATCTCCTTTAAAAATAGCTGTGACAGTTCTTATCCTAAACGGGAACTGTCAAGGCTACACCTCAACACACTGAAACTACTGAGAAAAAAGACATTTGGGGAACAGGCCTCTCAGAGCTCTTTGGCTTTGCATTTTACACTTCCCCATAGGCTCTTTCTGAAATTCATGAGTAGAATTATCTCCAACAGTGAAAATTACTAGTGATGGACCAAGAAGGAAATTTCCCACCAAGTTTGACATCAGAATACATTACAGTGTAAGCACTTCCATTCTAAAATGCCACATATCCATTCAAGGGAAAATGACTGAAGAGAATATTGAAAACAAACTCAAACTGAATAAAATAAACAGCACAAATATTTACAAATCTCTAGCGATGACTCATCTGAACAGCTGCCAGTACTGAGTGTTGAGTTGGCAGGGTTGAAAACCCTCTGAAACATCATGAGAAGCAAAAAATAAAACTCAGTGGACAACATCACTGTTATCTGTTATTTAATAAAAGGCAGGTACTGTCGCAGCAGATTGATATATTTTGGCTCAAACCCTGTTTCTGACTTCTATTGATATTCCCGGTGAATCAAAGAGGTGTGTGTGTTGTTACACAACTCTACAACTGCCATCAATGGGTCACGGGCTGAGGTGGGCACTCAGCCTGTCTGGCTGGCTACCTGTCTGGCTGAGTAATGACACTGCAATCCTAATCTATCTCCTCCAGAGTCTGTTGCTAATGTGAGCAGACACACACGCACACACACACACACACACACTCACACACAAACATGAAGATGCACAAAAGCATCAAGTAGCAGCAGCAGCAGCATCAGCAGTATCCTATAATAACTAAGAGAACTAAGTTGACCTTTACTGAAAGCCTCCTCCTCACTCACCAATGGCTTGGAATTACAGTTTAGACTACTGACTATGAGCCCATTACAAAAGATGAAAGCAAAAACTAAAAAGAGACAGTTGGCAGAATTGTTATCATAGCAGCAGGACAACCCCTCAACCACCAATCTCTGAGAGTATACGAAACAACATTCAAACATAATGACTGGTAAGACAGCATCACTTCAACCACTAAAAACGGTCATAAGAAGAAGTGAATTTACTGATCTTGATCATAACAGTTCTCATTATTTTAGCAGGCATTATCTGATCAGGGCTCACCATTTTCTGAATCAAGCATCTCTGCGGTGTTCTTGTCTGTTTGCCGCTGTGGTTCAGCTGGAAGCCTAAAAAGCAGAGAAAGAGATATTAATGCAAAGGTCGTTAGTTAAATAAAATTAAACAGAAACAATACCAACAAAAAAGAAAATTTAAGTGTACCCAAGTGCTCTCTCAGCCACAAAATAAAAAATAGATTAAAACTGCTTGTGTTGCAAGCATACATCTAGACACACACACTAGACTGTAAAATGTTTGACTGTTTAAGCTTTTTAAAAGCAGCACAACAATTCAGACCACAGATTACACACAGATACTTTATCGTTGCAGTAACAGACATAAATTAAGCATGAAGATTAATTTTTTGGAAACGAGCCACTTGCTATGTGTTTTTTGAGCATTTAGCTGTATTCATCTTCATCATGAGTGGATCATTGTTATGACAACTGTGGCTTTGGTTGAAAGCCAAGTTAGTAAATGGGCCTTAAGATTATTTTGTCAAACTACTATTTCTAAAGTCAAAAAGAGGTAAGAGTATAGTCCAAACTATGATGCACAAATCACCTGCAATATATTACTCACAAATTCTACGTCATGCAACTGGGTTCACTCACATGTGGTCCTGAGCGTCGTTGTCGAGTGAATCATTGTTTTGGGAGTTGATGTGTTTAACAGGGCTGTTCTGATTGGAGTTGGTCTCGGGTAAAGTGGGCTCACTCTCTTGTGTTGCAGGAGTGGCAGGAGCGGCTGCTTCTTGGTTGTTGCTGTTGTGGAAACCAGCTTTGCAGAAGGCCATGGGGTTATCGCTGTAGCCTCGGATGAAGAAGGGGTTGGTGGGAGAGCATGCTGGGTAGTGGCCAGGGCGCACAGGCTTGGCTGCAATAAACAGCAGCAGTAAAACAGATATAGATCTATTGATTGATCCATTCATCCAGAAAAGACAAAAACATTCTATTTATTTTTCCCTAGAGGGCCAGTGCTACGCTGTCATCTGTAGCACAAACTAATACATTTTTAATGTGGCTGGATTACTGAGAATATATTAAACTGAAATTAAAGAGTTTTTTTTTTCTGCTACAGCATACATAACTAATTTATTAATATCTGCTCTGTAAATCACTTGTCTTGTGTTCCCCTTTTAGAAAAAAAATCATTCTGAGAAATCATCACGGAAATTACCGTATTTTGATACAGCCTACATCAAATCTTGCATGAAGCCATAAGATCAGCGTGCTATCATAGGCAGAGCAGACGTTCACACTGAGCTAGACAGCAGCTACACAACATAAAAACCACAGACTGAACAACAACCTATATTCGTTTTCCTGCTAAAGTCTGCACCTTAAATTGTTGAATGAGTGACCAAACCAATATTAATCTAGGAAAGTGTCTTGCTAATGTCAGTTTGCAGGCTAGATAGCTAATTAGCTGCACATTAAACAGCATTTAAACCTGCAATTATCACTTTGGCCTGGTTAGATGCTGATGTGGTCTTTAGTATTTAATATCACAAACAACCCGCTGTCTCTGTTTTTTCTGCTGTACGCTTGTTTGTTAACTTTGTCTCTCAGTCACTACTGTGTAAGCCAGGCACTCTGTCAATCAAGCTACAACGCCAGCCAAGAGGAAAAGGAGCATAATCTTATATTTCCCCAAAGATCTTTATTCTTCCTTTCAATAAAAAAAGCTATTAAAAATACATTTAAAAAAACATTTTTTGTAAGTTTTCACTACATAATGGGATGACTAAATGTGAATTCAGTTGGACTTCAATATTCGTTACAATATCACAGTTGTTCTCTGTTGGCTTGGTTTAATCCTCAAATGAAAATCATTATTCTAAAAACACTCTCAAATCAATAGCTATTTTTTTTCACAGCAACATTGCGTCTCTCATTTCTTTCACACAAAATTCAAATGCCTGAGTGAAACTATCTTTTCATCTTTTGACACAGTGATTAAAGTAAGTCTTGGTGATCAAAATGAATTACACAGCTTTTCTAATAATTTGTATTTCTCTTAGAAGAGCACGCTCATTGTGCATATCCTCTCATGCAAAATATTGCAACCAACTACCACAACTATTCTAGTTTCATACTTTTTAGCATTTTAGTAGGATAAGTGTTGTCATAATTTATGCCAACTAACACATGTTTAGTATAAACACATATTAATTTCTCAATTTCTCGATTAGCTGTTTGGTTTATAAAATGTCCAAAAATTGTGAAAAATATCGATCAGTGTTTGCCAAAGGCAAAGATGACCTCCTCAGATGTCTTGTTTTGTCCACAACCCAAAGATATTCTGTATATCTACTGTCATAAAGGAGATAGGAATATAGAAAACACTCACATTTAAGAAGCTGTAATCAGAGAATTCAGACTTTTCAATTTTTTTCAATTAATCAATTATCAAAATAGTTGGCGATTAATTTAATAGTTGACAACTAATTGATTAATCGTTGTAGCTCTAGATGAAACGGTGTGGCCAGATAGACTGGAGTGTGCAACCCAAATGGTGGAGAGGATTCACATTTTACATTGTTTGATTTCTACAATTCCTATAGCAATATTCATAATTTACTTGCTATAAGAATCACACAGAAGAATTATGCTTTGTTAAAACTGAGCACCTATGGCACAACACTGGGATATTGCATGTCAATACACACAGAACATGGATGGCTGCAATGAATCACTGCCTACCTACAGATTATGTTATCATCATTTCATCAGATTACAAAGCTTTTACTGAAATGACACATACAGCTGTGTAATGTATAGTGTAGATCACTGCTGATCTAGTGGGGTGTACATGTTACCTATCTGCGCAGCGTGGGGCCGGCGGAAGGGATTGCGAGCCCTCATCACATCTTTGATGCGCTCCACCTCCTGCTGGTACCGGTGGCGGTCCTTCATGGCTCCTTCCTTCGCCTCCTTCAGCGCACCCTCCAGCGCCTTAACTCGCTCAGCTGTAGACCGAAGACGTTTCTCCAGTTTTGGAAGCTCACAGCGAAGATCTGCATTGTCACGTACCAGCTGTCACACACACAAGAACACGTGGAGTATGACCTGGTATCGACTGAACCTATCAATGAACATGTAACATATCTTCTTATATAATACAAGATATTGACGAGACGCAAAATTTATAGAAAGAGTTAGTAATATTGTTGGTAATATTTTATCTAAAAGTTTTTTTTTCTTTCAGGGTTTACCATTTTCTGAATGCAATTTATAAGGAACTTGTGTCCCTTTAACAATGCTATGTACCATTTTGAGACCTGGGTGTGATGTTTTGCTTTTGTGTTTGTCTTGAAAAGCAAGAATAAGAATGAGATTTTTCTTAATTTCATTTCTTCAACCACTTCCACTTGAAAAGCACCCTCCGGTTTTACTGTGTGAGGTTTCCCCCTTTTTTGTGCAGAGAAGAGTACAACAATGGGTATAGTAGACAACAATGGCAGTACCAAAGTGACCATGCGGTAGTGAATTCTTTGGATATGAAGAAATGTATGAGTTATGCGTTGTCATGGTTAAGGAACCCAAGTGGCCCTCAGGGACCTTTACACTTGGCGTAGTTTGTGTAAAGATTCTCAGGCATTCTGTCAGATAAGCTGAAGACCTTGGAGATGTTACATCTTCTTATAAGCTTGGATGAGAACTTGCCTAAGCCAGAAGTCGCAGACACTGTGTGTCTACCCCTCCCTTATGCCGTGATTTCTTCAAGGCCTCCCATTTAAAGCTGAGACAAGTGTAGGATGTGAAGGATTTTGTTAAGACTATACCCATGTGTATTCACACTAAAACCTTCTCTGATATCAGATTTGAAATAAACATATTCCAAGAAGGACTGAGGCCGATTGAGTTATTTTCCATCTTCACCAAACTGAGGCTGTACCTGGCAGTACAAGTTTCTTTCAACAGACCACATAAGCCCCTTCGTTTGAACTGGAAGATTTCTTTCATTTAGTGGCTAACAGGTGCAGCGGGGTGGAACAGAGAACTGTCAAGTGTGACCTGATGGAAAAATTGTCTGAGGAAAAGACTCAGACTCACATGCTTAACTAACATACCTCAAATTGAAGGCTAGCACCAGCCGGCCAGCTTGCTATTGTACAGTCAGCTGATACTATTTAACTATATATCTACGCCAGTGAGCAAAGTGGTGGTAAATCAAAGGAAAAACCTCACTAAAAGAGTAGAGAAACATAAACACAGACGCGTACATGCACCAGGGCTTGCTGAATGGTTTGGTAACTATGAAAACGACGTGAGTAAAATGCTACAGCCTTTCAAAACCCAGTTTCACACCTATGGAAGACTTTGGACCAACGTGTATAAACTTTCATCTTTATATCTATTTAGTGATGTCTGTGACTGAAGCTGTTCTGGAGGCTCATGGAGGCCTGACTCCCTACTAAGACAATTCATGTTGGTTTTTCTTTTAATTTGTCACCCATCTGTACCTCCGTCAGTCAACTAGGAAGGACTCAATTTCAGTGGTGCATCATTTGCTAGTAAAACATTTTTGATTAGTACCCATATTCCAAAACTAATAAATACTCAACTCAACAAAGTGATTCTCTTCTTTGAATGCATGTTTCTTAACCTAGGTTTTGACCAACAAAAAACCTCCTACAAAGTTTGAGTTCTTTTAATGACTACATAATAATCTGATCTCCATAAAGAAATAAAAATTATGCTTTAGGTACAATTTGTGTATATGACTAATACTCTAAAAATGTGACAAAATACAATCCTGTCACATTGTGTAAAACACAGCGTGGTTGCCACTAGGTAATGGTCTTGTCTGATCATTCTCATGAAGCAAAACCAATATGGAGATTTATTGATTTTAAATTGCTGCACACAGCATGTTTCTTCTGAGTAGGAAGGGTAAACATGAAAATCCAATGACTGAGCACGTTAAACACTGTGAGTCTGCTGCTTCATGATCGTGCTAACTAATTCATATCCTGCTGAGATACTGAGTGCAAGGCCTGAGGGTTTAGCAAACAGGCTAAGTTATCTACTCTACATACTGTCTGCTGTCAGGAATTCAGTAGAACCACAGGAGGTTTGGCAATACCAGATTATTGTTTGGTGACGAATCATTTTAAAGAAAAAATAACTAAAAATGGTTGTAATTGTGATGTTATAAGAGGAATCAAGGCAGTTGTATGTGCAGATAGATGGTCAGACAGGAAGACATTATTATATATGTGCAGGGGCAGAGGAACTCATACATAGCCCCCCAGTGCTCTGTCCACTGCCTATGGGAGCCTTATCACTTTACACTGGCGTGGCAATTTATTACCATGACTTTCATCTTCCATTCCCACAGTATCAGCAGGTGGTGGATGGGATGCAGTTTCCCAGCAGCCACTTTAGGATTGGTTTTCTGCCTGACAAACTGCTGCACTGCAGCTCTCACCAGTCTGCCAGAGTATATGTGCCAGTCTGCAGAACATTTAGCACATCAACACTTAGTCCACTGCTGTAGTCCAGAATATTAAAGAAAGATGTGAACTGTGTGCATTTATGTCTAATCTTTTTGAGCACAAGGTTGCTTTTGAGAGTTTGTGTGGATTCAGCTAGTGAGAGAGGAAAGACTGAGAGTGTTTACGTGCACCTGCATGATGAATTCATTTATGTTTATAAAAAATTGGAGTAACTGTTTAATGCTGCTTTCCTCCAGAGGCAGCATGGCACCTTCTGCTGCTCTGTTTTCAAGGAGACTTTAATGTGAAGTTGCAGTAGTGAGATGATTGATGGTGCTAGCGTTACTTTTGCCCATAGGAGAGAAGTGACAAACGGAGCACACTGCTCTGTATTTTAATTTGGCTTGCTCTTTTTGTCCTCCTCTCACGATCTATCCTGCTGAGGCATTTCTGCCTTATTGCTGTACAACGGCACGGTGAGAACCAGGCTTCCACGCCAGAGGAAAAACCAGATGATTTGTTCTCATTTTTAACAAAATGGTGGACAGGTGAAATGTTATTTTCTGTCTCCTTCGCTATGATTTATAGTTTCATTTTACCTGTTTGTGAACTTTCGTAAGCTGGTCCAGGTTGTTTTCAAGAAAGGAAATCTTCTGTTTCTGGGTGATATATCCCCCACTATCATCAGGCTCCATCCCTGCACTCTGTCGACAGAAACAGTAGAGATCTTTTGGTTTTGTGTAAAAAAAAGAAAGAAGAAAACACTTCCATCGCAAATAGTAGTAAAATATATTTTATATATTTATATATTTATATATTTTTAAAGAAGTAATTTGCACACTGTCTGGGTCAAGCCACATGTACTCTAGCTGTGGTTATGTGTGGGAATTAAAGCTTTTAAATGTCTTTTGTAGTTAAGTTGTTTCTGTCTTACTTTTCTAACTCGAGTCGTGAGGTCTTGAACAAAAAGCTTGCGGAGGTTGTGCAGGGTGTGGAGCTCACGTGCCTTCAGCATTAAGGGAGAGACAGAGACAGGAAATAGTGCAGTTAAAGCTGTTAGGGAGTATTTAGTGGATCAGTGGCCACTGAGTGAGCCAAGTGAATCGTGACAGTAAATAATGACTTACAACAGTCTCTTCCAGCCCTTTGAGGTCCTGCTTTGACTGCTCATGTCGCTCATGGAGAAATCTATAGACAGTTAGGTAGATAGACAATTAAAAATGAAATTTGCTTAACCCCAGTGAGTACCCGATCCTTGCCAGAATAATTCATGAATAAAGAACAAACACAGCATGGACCGGCTGCCCCACTCATGGGCTGTTACCCATCTGCTTCTGATGCAATATGTTGAAAGGGTCAGTGCAGAAAGAGGCCTATTAGTAACCAGCTGCTACCTTATCCCAAAAATCCATAATGGAGATGCAAATAGTAGTTACACAGAAAGAAAGAAGCAAAGACAGAAAAAGGCAAAGAGAGGGTTAAAAGGGTTAGCCTCCATATAATCTATTTTAGCCACAAACTGCATGACTGTAATACTCCACAGAGAGAGACACATCCTGTAAATAGAATGACGGTCAGAGCTGCACGGCGAGAGGAAAAGTAAATAGACAAAAGGAAGACAAATGACAGTGAGAAATAGAAGACGTGAATCAAAACAGGCAGCCTGCCCCCAGGCCTCCATATGGTGAAGTGTTTGAAAGCTGACCAGGACAGTAAAGCAGAGACTCACGTCAGTTCCTCCAGCTGCCGGCTCTTGTGATGCTCTTGGCTCCTGAGACGTTCAAAGTCACAGTGCAGTTGCTCCAACTCCAGCTGCTGCTTCTGGTTACAACTGAAAAGGTGGACAACGGCTCACTCAGGGAATCGATGGACAGGTTAAAAATAATTTAATGGAAATAGATACTTTGTTTCTCTGTCCTTAAGACTAAGGATTTAGTGTTGGTGGTCCTCCTCCATGCATAAAGTGTCCCATTAGGGTACAGATGTTGTTGTTTTTTTAAAGTAGGACACTTGTAGCACACACTTGTACATGCCACAGAGCTCTGCTTCAAGGATCTGAAGGGCCACTCTACTCCTATTTCAGATGCTTTCTACCTCACCGACGTCCAACCATCCATCAATCCATCCATCTATTTTCATGCTGCTTATCCAAATCAGGCTATACCAGCTGGACAAGCAGAGAAGTCCCAAATGTATTTTCATTCAGAATTTCTCTGCAGCTGCTCCTGTAGTGTTACCAGACACTCCCAGGCCAGCTGGGAGACGTACTTTAGTCCCTCAAGAGAGTCTGCCCTGCAGTCCCCTCCCAGACGGTTACGCCTGGTACAGAACATCTTCAAAGCGGGGCACCTAAAGGGACATCGTTTCATGGAGCCCAAACCAGTCCAGTAGCTCCCCACATTATGGTTCAGCAGTAGCTTTACTCTAAAGTCCTCACACACTGCAGTTTCCTCACCATGTAAACCACCCACACATATCAATTTCAGCCCCTCTTGCAGCTAGAACGGGTCTTAGACTTTTTTTGAGAACTCTACTATTGAGACCATGTATCCCCAATTTTAGCATTTCCACGCTGCTTATAAGAATACATTTGAATTTCAGATTTGAGCCCACAGACAACTCACAGAGTGGGTAAGCAGTCTGCTTATAGAACCATGTATGAACTGCATGTAAAGTGTCACACAGTCCCATCTCAAAGATAGAAGTAAGTATGCCATGTGCATGACATTTTTATAATGTTTTATAAAATACCTGTACTTCTCTTTTTATCCTCTTGTACAAGTGAATTTCTAAAGTGGACTTAATTTTGAAAGCTTGATTTGGTATATCTGAGAAAGGCGAAGAATGAATGAAGCACTGACTCAGTTAAGTCGTCGATGATCTTCTGCTTCTCATTGATCTCGTCTCGCAGGTGGCCAAGCTGTTTGCTGTGCGCCTCACGGTGTGACTCCATCTGCAGCTCCAGAGCCCTCTGAGGTACAGGCAACAAGAGGGGGTGAGAGACATCCATATATAATAAGAGAGAGAGAGGAGAGAGACAGTACCAAGAGGTGGGAACAAAATGATTAAATAACAAGAGGATAGAATTACACACACCAGTGCACATGTGGACATAGAGGGCCACATGGGCATGGACACACACACACACACACACACACACACACACACACACACACACACACACACACACACACACACACACACACACACACACACACACACACACATACAGTGATATGCAAAAACATGTGCACAAATACAGGCAGATAATCAAAAACAACAAATACTTCCAGCTGTACACGAGTGTTTAGCAGCTGAAAACGGCATTGGGTCACATTGTTTACTTTAAGGCTAAATTACCACGCTGGACAGCGAGCTTATTGTGTTTACATTGTGCATTTTCCTTGATGTGTTTCATCAAATTACTCCAAAGTAACTGGCAGAAAACCTGAGGCCTGGTAGTTTGATTCTGGGCAAAATTTTATGAAGCTACTGTCTTTAGTGTGCTGTGTGCACTGTATGTGATGGGAACTTGGAGGTAACAGAGGCTCAATAGCAAATTAGTGCATTAGTGCTGAAACGATTTGTCAATTAAGTCATTTATCTAAGACATTCGCTGTTTCCAGCATCTCAAATGTGAAGATTTGCTGCTTTCCTCTATTTAGTTTAATTGTAAATTGAATATCTCTGGATTTTGGACTATTTGACACGAGCTATTTGAAGATGTCATGTTAGACTCTGGGAAACTGAGGTGGCATTTTTCACAATTTTCTGACATTGAAGGAATAGTTGGACATTTTGGGAAATATACTTATTTACTTTCTTGCCAATTGTTAGATGAGATAATTGATATCACCCTTGTGGCTGTACGATAAATATGTAGGTAGCGCCAGCGGCCAGTTAGCTAAGCTTAGCATAAAGACTGGAAGCAGGTGGGAAAGAGTTAGCCTGGCTCCGTAATCTCCCTACCAGCACCTCTAAGATCACTAATCAACACTTTAAATCTTGCTTTTTTTAATCCACAGAAAGATTGTAGCAGAAAATCTGCAAATTTCTATTATTATGTGTTATGTTTATTATAACCACTTTCTTGGTTGGAACCAGTTGTTAGACAACAAGGGGAGAGACTACAGGAAGTTTCTTCACTCAACCAACACATAGGCACATAACCCTCCCAGTAAAACAGCAAGCTGTCATGTTTACGCTATGATTTTGTTACCCTTGGCTAGAGCCAGGCCAGCTGTTTTCAGTCTTTATGCCAAGCTAAGATAAACTGGCTACTGATTTCAGCTTCATATTTATCGTACAGACATAAGAGTGGCATGGATCTTCTCATCTAACTACCAGGAAGAAAGCAAATAAATGTATTTCGGTTTCCTTTAATGCATTAATAGACAAAAAAGTTGACAGGTAACTGTAGCCCTAGTTTATGACACATGAATGTTGTCGCAAACACACACACATTACACGCAGGCAACACATGCTGTAAGCTGAGAGCTGAGGCGATGTGATATTACCTTAATATCACTGGAATCCTGGACAGAAGTGTGATTCTGCCCCCTGGTCACCTGTGACATGCTCTCTAAAACACATACAAATATTGGAGAAAAGACAGAAATAGCCTGACTGTGAGAGAAAACAATACAGAGAGAGAGAAATGTCAGATTAAAGACTGATGTAGATGAAAGAGGTGACAGTGACCTGACTTTGACAGCACAGCAGTACCACCACTTGATGTTGACAGTGAGGTCAGCGTGATCTGAGTTATGCCTTGGGTTTAATAATATCTATTATTGAAAATGACAGCCATTGTGTCACACTGATCTGATCTGTTGTTAATACGCTGCTGTTCCTGGCATCTGATGATGAAATTACCGAGCTGTCTACCTCGCACCAGGCTGTGTGACCAACATGACCTGCAGCATTTTGTATTTATCTACTTCTGTGATGACTTGACGGCCGCCTGGCACGGGTGTGGAGTAAGCCAAAAAATGTATTTACCTGCCCTTAAATCCAACGGTTATTTGATGCAGTTCAGTGGGACTCCCCTGAAAGAATGACTTACATTGCCTTTGGCCTGATTTGTGAATTGTGTCAGTGTCCTGGGAGTATCCGCAGTTAGCCGGACCTCGCACAAATTTCCAATGTCCCATTAATCTATTTGTGCTGGTCCTGTGAAATGTTTGAGAGTCTAAGCTGTTCATCAATGTTTACCCCTGTTTTTCTTTTTCTTGACAGGTTAGAAAGGCCTCTGGCAGAGACTAATACTCTCCATTGAAGCCAATAAAATTGTTTTAAGCGGGGAGGCACTTCCTTTCAGTTCTACCTTAGTGGAGCTGAAATGCAGTGACAGACTTGTTGTCTTTTTTATGCTTTACTTTGTCCAGACATGACTGAGTTTGACTGTGAGAACATTAACCATTTATTTGACTTTGGCATCTCAAGACAGCAATTTAGCAAGATTTACAATGTAGATAAATCCAAATATTGTCCTAAACTGTGCAGTGAGTAAGAAGAGTACTGAGGGAATTATCATTTCAAAAAGGTGCACTTTAAACATGTGGTATTTTTGGATTTATTAAGCCAAGATCTGTTTTGCTAATTGTTTGACTGTGTTGATTGGATTTGCCACTGGGGCCTTGTATTTTGCCTGATTAATCAACTACTAATCTGTTGTTTCCCTTGGCTGACCATATTGACATTTTCCTCCTTCACTTTTTAGTCTGAATAAATGTTGAAGTCTTTGCTCCTGGTTTGTATTTTGATCATGTAGGTAAAATACCTCAACCTAAGCCCAGGGCAAGGACACTTTTATTACAAATACAGAACTTGCACATTTTATATGTACTGCACTGACTGTGTTTATGTAATATTGATCCTTGAACCTCATGTTTGGCTATTTTTTTAGATTTCACCTCAAAAGCTTGATTCATGTACTGTTAGAATGGTGCTGCATCTTCAACCTGATCTGATTTTTGAGTATTTCACTGAGATCAGGGTGCGAACTACGGGGGAGCAAGGGGGAGCTTAGCTCCCTTTAATAAGACATTAGCTCCCCTGAAAGCATGATATGTTTGTGATATTTCGGGGGTTCTTAAAATATTGACAGCATGCTTTATTGACATTAATCTCTATATTTCTCTGTCATCATGGATCATGCGGAGCGTCCAACTTCATCCAGCCAGAGGGAACTACCACCTGACAGTTTGCAGCAGGCCAGTCACTCTGCGAGCTGCTGTCCCTGGTCTGCCCAACTCCCTCTCCGTTACGGGTTGTGTCACCAGTACAACCGACACGCTGTGAACGGTTTGTGATCGTTCCCTCCGGCTGGATGAATATTACGGATGATCCATGCACTACTGCAGCTGGGGGCTCCCAATTCTTCCCTCTCACAGAGAAAATAAAGGTCAGGTTGCAAACACAGCTGCAGCTGTTTGTTGAAGCGTAATTGTAGCAAAATGGCTACATATGATAATAATATTTATTATTATTATAATAAGACAAACAAGCCTGCTACTTTCACCGTCAACCCTTGGCATAGCTACATGCTTGCAGCTATTAAAGATTAATGATCACTCTCAGATCCCATTGGCTATTGTCTGAAGACAAGCGTTTTGGGGCTTTTGTTGTGGCCATCAAATATCTGGACTTCCTCTTCTGTGCACAGGTCATTGTTTACAGTCTGATAGCAATCTCAGAAACTTATTGGCTATTGTCTGACAATGATGTGAGATTAAATTTTGACCAATTTGTTGCGCCTCTTTTGCTCTCCACTTGGACTGTTTACCGGCATGCAACCAAATCCTCCTCAAATGTAATTAATCAATACTACTCAGAATACAAATGGAAACCACAAAACTTTTGATAACAAATAAATTCATACATGAAATTACATGTTTTATACTGTGATGTCCTCCTCCTGGCAGGTTAGTCCGATTAGTCTCAAAACTGTCATAGAAAAAGCTTAAGACCTTGATGATGCTATATTGTATAACTTGTGAGCATGAAAAGCATGCTCACAATGACATTTAGCTCAAAGCACCACTGTGCTAAAGCCCAACAGAACCCCTAGAACGGCTGTAGGCTTTTAGTCTTTTTTGTTGACTAGTTATTCATTCTTGGTGTTTGACTTGGTTAATATATTATGAAAGCCACTGTTCAATTATGATGATTTTTTTTTTGCTATAATGATATAACGCTAAGGTACCTTGAGCTTGGAATTTAGCTAGCTCCTCGCTCAAAGAGTCATAGCCGTCCTCCAGGTGTCTCTTCTTCCGCTCCACATTCTGCATGTACTCTGTTAGAGAGCGGATCTTTGCCTCATGCTGAAAGTCAGAACACAGCGTCTCAGATGCAGGAAGTATACTGATGAGCAAAGGACCTTTACCCAAGACAACACTTTATACCAAGGATAAAATGTACTTTTTACCCACTGTGAAACGGATATGATCTACACTGAATGGGTCCCTGTTCATTAGGGAATTTCATTTAAATACCAAAGATAGTAAAACTCAACAACATGACAGATTCAAAAAAAAAAAAAAACATCAACACAAAGAATAAAAAATATGCAGTCCTTTAAGAATCAAGACAGTTTGCTCACTAAAAGCTTCTGATGCCAAAAATTTGTTACTGCCACAAACAGCTGAGTTACGTTTCGAGCACACTGCTCTTCATCAGAGTAATTCACACCACACAAAGGCCTACATAAATATGTGTGATGTTAACTGGGCTGATGAAGAATCCTGTGCTCTAAACGTCACTCACGTCTTGTTTGTTGTGATAATTCATATTTTGCATTGGGAGTTTTCACTGGCTATTGCCTTGATTTGTCCATATCAACACCAAAATTTCTCACTAGATCAACAGATTTACAAAAGTTTTTCCTCTGAATGTTTTCAGATGTTGCTAGTTCCTCCAGTGCATGCATCCCTTACCTGTGAAACGAGGAGGTGACATGAGGACAGTTCTCTGCCCGTCTCCTCCATCTTGCGGTGACCCTCCATCTGAAGATTCTCCAGGTGGCGGCAACGCTTCACCATGGACTTCACCTCTGACTTTATCTTACTGATGTAAAGGCGAGCCACTGTGAACTCCTCCTCGATCACACCAGTGATCTCCATGGGCTGGAGACAAATGTGGTAGCGAGAGACAGATAAAAGAGTAGTGGAGACGTTTGGTTAAGATTGAGTGGGGACAATTCAAAGACGGCTGGTAAGTTAAAGAGAGAAACTCTTTCTGCCATGTTGTATGCACATCCATTAGGTTAACGGCATCATTTACCAGATGCTGTGATTCAGGCGCTCTGAAGTGAACTGTGGAGGATGAACTATATATCCAACTATATATAGAATATAACTTATATATATATACAAATATCAAATCAATCAAAATACTATAGCCAATATATATCAGTGGATATGCCTTATAACCTACCCTCAAAAAAACTTGACATTCAAGGGAAACAAATGTACTGATTATATTTTATAATGTATGGCTCCTTAGCTGAGTCATCACTGTAAAAACAGCCACAAACACACAGAAATGTGTTTTAAATGCTCATCAGGATGAGTGCATTTTCACAGATGTCGAATATGTCAGGTTGAATTGGAGCGTAATTTGTAAAAAATGATGCAAAAGACATTTTGAATTTTCCACTCTATCTTGGGTTTGAATATTTCAGTGTGACAAAGCTATAGTGACGCACCCACACCCCTATCAGATGAGCTCAGCAACACCACCCATCATGTTACAAATGTGTTCATGTGAATGGATTTTAAACTGGATGTTTGTTTTTTTTAACAGTTAATTATATATAAGTGGATATTTAAATCACCACTATTTGGAGTAGCAGAAGCTGGGCACTCAAAGCACGTATATTATTACGGTTACTGACTGTCCTGTGCATTAACATAGCTATCAGTTAATAGGTTTTTGGGACAATAAATACACTAAAGATTAGCCTCATACCACCTATTTGTAATCATATCAAATATTTCCTTGTACCCTTTAATGACTTCAGAAGTCGTGTTTCCCAAGGGTCCTTTAAAACCTTAACATTTTATGAACTTCAGGGGGGTAATCAAGGCCTTGAAAAATTTTTTAAATGGAAATAAAAAGACATCTGTCAAGGAAATGCTTCAATGTATATATTTTGTGCAAGAGTGGAAAATTGAGTTCTTTTGATATTTTTTTTTACTTAATGTTAATAAGTAGGCTATGTGCAGCCACAGTCTGCCATCACTTTAACAGCAGTGTTAACATATCCAAGTCTCTCTCTCTCTCTCTCATTACACAAATTATCAGTGTTGTAACAGCCTTGATCTGTGCCTCAAACTATGCCAGGGTCCTTGAATTTGATGTTTAAGAAGGTGTGGGAACCCTGAGAAGTACACCCTGGGGTACAAATAACCCTGGTTGGGAATCACTATTGTGGGGCGTGTTTTATGAGCCTCATGCCTTCAGCCTTTTTAACCTAATATTATTTACACCACAATCTGAGCCATGGAAAGTTATTTGTTAATTTGATAATCATGGGGCAAAATATGAAGCCATAAATGGTGCATTTTTAATATGATTTTAACTCACCAGCTTGATGTCTCTGTTACCAACGATGGTGCTGAACTCACTCAGGTCCCTCATCAGCCCGTTGAGAATCTCAGCGATCCGTTTCCTTTGGTGGGTGCTCACTTGCTGGATACGGGACAGCTCCGCCTCTAAAGCCATGAGGTGAGCCTGAGGGAGGAGAGGAGTGAAATGAGTGAGTTAACAGTGAGGAAGCAGGTGAGAGAGAAAACCCAGATGCGGGGAGAAACATTTGACCTAATTCTCATCCAAGAAATCCACGCAGCAAAGCATAATGGCCACTAAATTACAAATCAATAAACTACCGAGATGGGGTTGATGGCATCGGCGCTGGATGAAAGGATCTGGGAGAGTGCATGATGGATCTTCCTTTATCCTTCTCCATTTTGTACAGCAGTCAGTATCTAAACAATGCTTTAGCCCCAATGGCTTAAGCACAAAGAAACAATTTGGGTTCAATCGATAATCTACAGATCGGAGGGAAAAAAATGGGAAAAATTATGGTGTAGTTTGTCTACCTTGGAAACAAATTCTTTGATCTGAAAACTGTTCAGTTGTTCAACATTGATATAAGCAACATATGAATGAGACCTAGAAAACCTCTGTTGTCAGTCAGGGCCATAGCCAGAATCTTAGAAGTCTGGAGGCCAAATACCCTCCTCCTAACATTAATTTTTTAATGTCATTTTTTTAAAGTAAAATAGGCCAAAAAGAAAAAAGAAATCAAAATCAGCCTTCAAAACCAAATTCTTATAAACGTTATTGGGGAATGACCTCGGTGTCCTCAATGGTAGTTACAGCCCAGTTCTTAGTGACCATGAGCAACAAAAAAATATTAATTTCAAATATAATCTTTCCTGGCATCTGTTTCTATGGATGGGTTGTTACACACATTGAAGGTGTTTCATTTAATACTAAGTGGATCATTTATTGTCACATAAAAAATGTACTTAAGTTCTTTTTCAATGGCACATTTTAGGTTACTGCCCGGCCCGCACGGATCATCACTCAATTGAAAGTACCTTCTTAAGTACAGTAACATTTCCTCCTTTATCAACATCTCCGTCTTTATCTCCCTCATTAACTTCAAGCAGTATGATCCTTCTCCAGGTCACTTCCACGTCAAAATATAAACTCAGGAGCATATCATTAACCACAATTGATTAATTTGTATGCAAATGAGTAAAAGGAGAGGAGAGATTATTGAAAAATGTTTAGTTTAGTTGAAAAAAAGATTTATGGAGCGATATCAAAGAGAAGAGATGGTTGGTTGGATGATGAATGGAGTTAATCATAATAATAGAAAAGGGGTTAAGTGGATGGATGAATGGATACAAGAAGGTGCTTAAAGAAGTGGATAATGAATGGCAGTGAAAGTGAACGATAGCATGGTCTCCTGCAGAAGAAAGCAGGAATTTCCACTGACAGCAGAGATGAAGACAGCTGAGGAGACCGTGGAGTGAAAACAGAGATGAATGTACTCCATTGCACCATTTTTCTAGGTCAATTTCACCTCATTTCTACTGTAGATACGGGAAAATGTAAAAAGCTGCAACACTGTACATTAGCATAACAGCTAGGATGCAGGCAGTGGAGAATTGGTAATAAAGACTCAGGGTGGATGAAGCTGAAAAAGGCACGTCAGAGGCTGGAAGAATGGGAACTGTTTGGATAAATGTAAAGTTTCTTGTGTTCAGTTTCACATCTTCACATCCCTGAGAGGAAGTCGTGTCATGTGAGAGGTCAGGGCAGACCAGACTGAGGAGGCCACAGACAAGGAGAGCTAAGTGTGATGATTGAGGAGACAGAAAGAGGGTTCAGCTGGCTTTAGCGGGCCAAACTGTGCAGTGAGTAGTTATATTGTCAGCTCCCTTTATCAATTTATGGACTAGCTTCTGAGAAAGACAGAGAGGCAGGGGAGGACTCAGTGGCAGATTGTAAAATGGTGCATGAAATATTGAAGACGTTTTAAGAAGATGAATAATGGTCCACTCTGTCCACTGAACCAGTCACAATAACTATATTAAGGGCTGACCAGCTCTGCCAATGGTTGTTCTTTTAATTTTATCTCTACTAGATTTTTACAAAAGTACTTTCCTGTGCAAAATGATCCAGTCACATACAAACAAATTGAGCTGTACTATTTATTTCAGTGATCACCACATTTTAAAGCCCCTGAAAACTAGCCTTCTAATAGTAACATTAAATATTCATGTAAGTAAGCAACAATCAAAGTTCTTTAGGTGTTTTTATTAAGAGTTTAACACTCAGTGCAGTTAATCTGCTTCTTCAGGTATATGTTGGTGCGGTTTGATTGACGTTGACCGATCAACCAACCAACTGTCACCAGATTCCGACTGAAATGTTGCTGAGCTCTGATTGGTGCACCTTCCATCACTTTTTCCAACTGAGCCCCGCCCACTACAAACCAGTGAGAAGACCACAGGGAAAAGAAATGACCAAACACAGAAAACTCTAATGCAAATTAAACAAAACTTTTCAAAGGATCCCAACCCTCTTACTAAGGAGCTGATTGAGAAAAAAGGGCATTTGTCATGACTCAAAAGTAAAACATCAGACAATAACTAATTTAAAATTCAGTTTTTAAGACTTTTCAAAGCCTCCTCAAATGACTGACATAATTATGTCTGACTATAAATGGTGTGGAATAGTCACTCTGAAAGGATAAAAAAAGGAAATAGCTGATAATCATTAATCACTACTTTTCCCAGGCTTTGCAGATAAACCACACCAGATTCAATTAACCACACTGAATGCTGCCCTCAACCACAACCTCAAACAAGCTATTAAGTGAAAATCACAGCCTCTAAAGTGAATTTATGAGATTACTTTGAATAGTGACCTTAGTCAAGAAAAGTCAGACTTGTGCTTTTGGTAGCTGCAGTTTTTTTTATCATGTCTTTGTGTTTATTTGTGGTTTGTGGTGCGAAACAACCAGTCATGACTCATAAAAATCAATAAATTCATAGCTTTTGCCTTTGCTGTGAGAGGGAATTTAGGGTTGAGCTGAAGAAACACCAGTGATGGCTGTTGATTAATGCCTAGAGTGATTACGAAAAATAAAATAGGGTTAGGTCTTTCCATCCTCCCACCCTTGTTACTAATAATACTATACTGCTAATACTAATACTAATGACTGTTGGCTGCACACTTTATCAGCATTGTCTCTCTTATCTTATATTTTCTGCAGCTCTCTAATTTAAATCCTTATCTCTCTAATTGCATTTTGCATGTTCTTGGAAGACAGGGATTAAATGAATATATTTATTTTATACCTAAAAGCTCCTTTTCTCTCTTTCTCTTTTAGAACGTGTAAATGTGTCCACGGCGAAAATCATGTACACATCCTTCTTCTGTCGCTGCCTCTTTGTTTTTGTTTTCTCCCTCTCTTCATCATTAGTTGTCTTTTTTTTCTGCTGCAGTGAATATTCACCTTTATGGCATGAAACTTAGCCTCCAGCAACCTACCATTTTCTTTGCAAGCTCTTCAGCCAAGAGCTTGTTCTGCACACTCTTCTCTTCAACCTCCAGGCTCTTCTGGTCGTAGTTGACTGCCAGCTCCTCCAGGGCCTGGAGGACTTCCTTCACCTCAGCCTTAGCAGATTCATTCTCTGTCTGCAGTCTGCCGAGCTCCGACTGCACCTTTTCGCTGTCACCTCTGGATGATGCGAGAAGCTGGGGGACGCAGAGATTCAACAACTAAATATAAACTGTATACAGAAAGGTTAGATTTTGTTTAAAAAAGGAATAAAGAAAGACTGCATAGAATAATTGTGTTATTCACAAAGGGGAGCTGCTGGATTTAAATAAAACATATAAATGTGGTTTATCTTATTAGTAATAATCATAATCCAGTTTCTTCAGCAACATACAAATTTACACACAGTATAAAGTATGCAGAATTTGTCCTCCGCATCTAACCCATCCTAACGAGGAGCAGTGGGCAGCCATTTAGCAGCGCCCGGGGACTTGAACCAACAACCCTCCAGATCTTAAGCCAAGTCCCCACGCACTGAGCTAATACCTCCCTCATTAAGAGCAGTAGGCAGCCATTGTACAGTTCCCGGGGAGCAGTTAGGGGTTAAGGGGCTTGCTCAAGGGCACCTTCGGCAGTGGTCCATGCGGAACTCCTATAATCCGCACAGACTGAGCTAATGCTGCCCCTACTAAGAGATAAGCGTGTCTCCAAATCCTGTGACACAATATAGGTGTAATTTAGTAGATGAAACATGTTTTAAATATTCATCTTAGACTCACTTAACACTGTAAGATCTTGACATTATTTAGCCAGTTTGCTTGCATGTGCCCTGCTGCAGCCCGCTGTGAGTCATATTATTGAATGGATGTCATTATATGTAGATGCTGCTCTACCCGGGGTGCCTGCGTTTTTGCACTGTAGCACACAGCTTTTGTTTGGCCAAATGAATGTGGAATCATGTTACTGTGCACAAGCTTAGGTTGGGTACCATCATGTCAGCTCAACCCACTGCAGGGCCATTTTGGGATATGGATGAACTAAGTTTGCAGATGTGGAGTCTTTGACTTGGCAGTGTACTTACATGCCAAAGCTTGGTTCAGGCTGTGTAGCCCACTGCTTTAACCACGGCTATGAATACATGCTGTAAATGCTGTTCTTGATTACCTTTTGAGAAAAGGGATGTGAACTATTTTCTTCTACATACAAGGTCTCTAAATTCACAGAGATGGTGGAGTTGTGCTCACCCACAGTATATTAAATCACACATCAGATCATTGAAGAGCATTTGCTTGTTGGTTTATCAGCTGCAATGTTACGTTAGCCTACATGCTACAGTCTTCGTACTCATCCTTACCCCCAATCATTTGTGTCAGATCAACCACTGAAACCCATTTTAAGCTGCTGTTAACGCACAAATACATGCTTTATGTTCTTCAAGGGCTTTCTGGTACTTGAAGTTTCTTTTTCTCATTCATTTCAAGGACGAGATAACAAACCTCTCATTCAAAGCATGGTTGTGACTGCCACGTTTGCAGGTGGGCCATTTAACCAAACTGATGAAAGGATGTAGGTCTTTTACCTCCTCCTGGTCGAGCATCTGCTCCTTCAGTTTCTCAACCATCTGGCTCTGGTGGTTGATCTCATCATCCTTCAAGAGACACATGGAATAAAAACAGTTTACAGTGTTATGTATTACACACACTGGTGCAGTACAGATTCTTTGTGCTCTGCCATCATGTGTATTTTGGGTCCCACTTTACATTCCCATTTTTATCCACTTTACATTTAAATTTTTACTCATTTAGCTACCACTTAAATCCAAAGCAACTTATAATTGCTATTGCTATGTCTTTTCTACTGTGCCATCACCACCCCATGTCCCATGTCCAATCACAACTATACAATTTTATCATGCACATAATCGTATAAAAGAAAAGATTAATACAGTATAACCGTAAACAAAAGTATATTGTTATACTGTTCAAAAAGGAGTTGTTTGATGGTCTGTGTTTCCATTATGCAGGCGACAATGGAAAAAGCAAGCTCTCTCCCAATCCTTAACTTCAACCAGAAACTCTGGATGTAATAGAAAATGTGTATAAACACACTTAACATGTAATGTAGAATATCCTGCATCAGGTCTACTGTAGCTGGTTTACAACATGCGTAGAGAAAAAAAATCTTATTAATGCATCCCCATGCCCTGTACAGTATGTGCACACCTGGACATGCCTGCATGTGTGAAAATGGTATATGCCATTGCAAAGAACAAAACATGGTTACTTTTGGTTACACACACATACACACACACACTACATCGACACACAGTTGTATCTCCATATTTAATGGAAAATTGGTTATTAAAAGCAATAACTTGACACATTACAGCACTGCTGAGCACAACATACACATGCATAAATGATGTGTTGAATAAATTAAAGCTTCAATGCTTTTCGATGTAGAACATTATTATTTCCCTAATGACATGTATTCCTATTTGTTGCTCCTATGTAACATGAATAATACATGTATGATATGCTCTTTGTATTCATGTGTGCATTATCAGCTACCGTGTGTAAACCATGCAAACACATGCTCCTCATGCGGCATTCTGTCATGAACCATGCATCTCTCACCTGAGTTTGGGACTGAGTGAGTGTGTTTTGATTTGTTTTTTCCTTTGGGTGAGTGAGGCATGCTTTGTGTGTTTTTGTTCAGTTTTTTCTTCTCTCAGTTTTTTGAATCTTGGGCGTGTCTGGGTTCCTGAGTTGGCACTTGCTGCACCTGCTGGTAATCACACACCTGTTCCTGATCAGCCATCCCTACCTCTTAAGGAGAGACCAGACTTCCATTCCCTGACGGATTGTTAAATTGCGTATCGTAGGTCTTACCTTAGCATCTAGTCTGTTAATCTAGCAACCAGTTTGCTTTTACTGACTTCTCTCTGCCTGTCTCCAGATCACCTGCTCTACCTGCCTACCAGTTCCAAGTCCCTCAAAGCTGAGATCCAAACTTTCCAGCCACACTCCAGCCAACCACGCCAGCCAGCCAGCCCTCACACTCCACTGCTTGGAAAGAGACTCCCTGCCACCTCACCCTGCCTAGTTTGCTCACCCTGTCTCGTCAATAAACTGTTTAACTGCTGCTTTGTCTCTGTGTCTGCATCTGGGTTCTAGCATAACTCCTGGCACATTCGTTTTTCACCTTATCATCCAGCTGTTTGTAAAGCTTGCGTATCTCCTCCTCATACTTCTGCCGCTCCTCCTCAGATATATGAACCACAATGGAGGAGGCAACTGAGCAAGGGCTGCAGGGGCTGCAGATGTCAGGATGTGGCTCCTCAGTTTTGGGAGGCACCAGGGGAATGTCTTCAGATTCCGGGCTCAGATGCTCTAACACAACAACATCCTCACCTAAAGACGAGGGACAAAATATTAGATTTGTGTGATGCTCTTATCGCTGGCAAATCCTCCTCTATGGATTAATATAAAAAAAGGGTTACTGGGTTAATCTTCAGCGCATGTCCTTTCCTCACTCATGAATGCATTTCAATTTCATGTTTGATATATGTCTGTCATAAATTACCTTTCTTTTGTATGTACACTATCAATACAAATTACTAGACCTATTTAACATTAAAATGTCACGTGTATTGTGTCTGGCTTTAGTTCAGACTGCTCCAGTAGTTCAGTAGTACAAAAAAGGGGGAAAAACGTTGAATGCATAAAGTGAGAAAATATAATTATGCTAATTGTGCCCAACTACAGGCATTTAATGCAATGAGGAACACAGAAAAAGTCTTGGACTGACAGCTACTCTGGATTTTAATGCATTGTAATTGTAATGCTCTTCCCCAGGCAGCATTAAGAGGTTTATGCTGATGTGTCCCAGAACCAAAGCAGGATGTGATGCGAGGAATACGTCATAGCACAAAACTGTAAATACAACACAATATATGCTGGGATATTTTCACTATTGGTATTGGAGTTTGATCCTGTCACATAATTGACATTATGTAAGAAATAATTTATATTATTCATGAGGATAGACACCAACCTTGTCTCATAGAAGTTATGTTTAATTATTACTAAATTACCAGTGGTTTATGTTTTGGGGCAACGTTTCTTAAGTGTTATATTTTTTTACCGGAGTCAGAGGGAGGTGGTTGGTGTGGATGGTGACCATAAAAAATAGACTTTGATGACAGAGATCTTGGTTCACATCCTGGGTCCTGTCTGTAGTTAGGTTTAGGTAAGAGAAGCACTTTGTTTAAGGTTAGGGAAAGATTGTGGTTTCGGTTAAATGTTAATAAGTCTCAACTCACTGGGGACAACTCTGTATTAAGTTATATTAGTTGAGACAAGTCTAGTTGTAAGTATGCTAATCAATAAAAACAGCTGCCTGGTTCAATGTGACAAAAAACAGAAACACATGACTGCACACTATAGGACATCCCCACTCTAGACTGCAGAGGGAGGAGATGGGATGGAATTTACTGTTAGAGACAGCTGTTCCAGTCTTTGGGCGATCCGTGACTAAAGAGTCACGCAATATGGTACAAGGTGGAGGTTAGCATCATTCTTCTCAGGGGGTTCCTGGCCAGTGGTGGCCAACAATATAGGGAGCAGGGAGGGGGGAATGGGGGTAACGATGTTGTCAAAATGATCCATTAGGAAATTAAAAGTACTAAACTGTAAGAGAGATACAGAGGAAGAAAGTGGAGGGGGATGTGTGTATGTGTGTGTGTGTGTGTGTGTGTGTGTGTGTGTGTGTGTGTGTGTGTGTGTGTGTGAAGGAAAATTAAAGTAACTGATGGGGATGAAGCAATAAAAAGGAACATTTTCACTGATAGGTGTTCAATAAAGATGTGTTATAGCGTTTTTTTTTCAGGTCAAGCAATGAGGGAATGACCTTCAAGACAAACATCAGAGAGGATTCATTACACAGCTTGAATGTCAACCAATCACAACCATTGAGAGCATTGACATTTGAATTAACCTACAGTCCAGCGGGAGAGGATGCTTAGAAATGTGTGTGTCTGTGTGTATGTGTGTAGTACTCCATGTGCTTGTGTTTATGTGTGTGCACTGTGCATGCGTGTGTGTGTGTGCTGACATGGGAGAGGATCAGTGTAAGTTATGACTTTCCTGTAGATTAGACTAGCCCTTGTCGCTGTGAGGATTACTAATACATAAGGATTCATAAAACATAAAGCCTCCAGCGTTTCTTGCCTTCAGCACAATGTAAAGGGGGATCAAATTATACAAAGTGTAAAAGTCTGAATAATATGAAAGAGAAATAGCCAGAAAGGGATTTTTAAGTGTTTTGGCAAAAGTTCAGCAACTTTGGCTGCTCTCTTACCATATCTCCTCTGGCATGTATTCAAATGATATCAAGTGAGGTTAAATCTGCACTTACGTGGACTGAAAAATAATTTCTGCAGGCTAGCAGTCTGATAAAATGTTCATTCCTGTTGGTAAGTACTCTTCCATGCATGAAAAGGGACTGCTACAAGGAGATGTAGTGTGGAGTTTTTTTTCCAGAGGCTGTGTTCTCTGGACATGACTCTCAGTGCTCTCCGGCAAAAGCTTCTTACCTGCAAATAGCACACTTCTCATTTTTACTGCACTGTAGAAAATTTTATTCATTTTTTGTAATTTATTACAGTAATTTAACAAGACTGTTTATCGCCATGCTTAGCAGCTCTGTGAGGCTGTATTTAGGCACAGCTGTGTGTATGGTGCTGAAGTCCTAATTCATGCATTTGCATCCTCCAGACTTGATTACTGTAATGTCCTTTTCTTTGGTCTCCCTAGCTGTGCCACCAGGCTGTGGCAGCAGACAGAATCTTGACAATAACTAGAAAATCTTACCATATAACACCCATTCCCTCTTCACTGGTTACCAGTGCAAACTAGAGCTGATTTTTAGGTCCTTCTTTTAACTTGCAAGGCCTTGCATAGACTACCTAGCTGAGTTAATTACACCATATATACTGGCACACCCTCTGATGATGGGAATACGTTTTGAATTATTAGTTTTGCAGATATTTTGTCAGACACCACAAAGTGTTGGCCTGATGACACTAGGTTAAATTAGTTATTAAAATTAACAAATTTCATGGCATCAATAGTCAAGACAATTCACTCAAAAGAATGGTGGCGCAACATGAAAAAGTCAGAGGATCACCTAACTCATTGGGATTTATCTTCTGGGAACCATGAATGTCTGTACAGAATTTCAAGGCAATCCATCCAATACTGGTTGAGATATTTCAGTCTGGACTAAAGTCTTAGGCTGACTACACATGGCTGCTTGTGTGACTAAAAACATAAACATTTACATTTAGCTTTAATCCAAAGCGACTTACAATTGCTATATCTGTCAGAGATCGCACGCCTCTGGGGGTTAAGTGTCTTGCTCAGGGACACATTGGTGTCTCACAGTGGATTCGAACCTGGGTCTCTCACGCCAAAAGTATGCGTCTTATCCACTGCGCCATCACCAACCAAGCATATTATTATTCAGACATTAAATTAAAAGGTTCTGATAATGTAAAATGTTGTCTGGGCAACAATTTTCACAGTTCTTCCCTGGCAGAAGACTTAAATATTCTGTGTTTTTATGAGCTGCCAACGTGATAACAGTGTGAGTATTACCGTTCCTCCAGATGTTCAGCTCAGCCTCCAGTCTTTGAAGAGTCTCCTTCATTGACCTGTTCTTCTCTTTTTCCTTTTCGTACTTCTTCTTCCACTGCTCTGCTGTGAGCTCAAGGTTCACGGATACAGTATTTCTAATAGTCTTGGCTCTAATTGGGGAGATGTGAGAGCAGAAACGAGAGAAAGGGGAGGATAGGGAGGTGACAGGAAGAGATGTAGAAAAGAGGAAAAGAGAGAAAGTGTGAGAGGACAGCAGAGAATAGAGGAACTGTCAACAAGGGTCTTTCAGCATTGGCTGCGCAATGAAAATTGGCTTGCATCTCATTAATTGGTATGCAAATTGGGTTTCTGCCAGCGGTTTGTGTTTGATGGTGCATGTAGGCAGAGAGAGGTATACGGAGGAATTCAAAAAATTTTAAAACGCTTTGGAACTCCTAAAACTTATTTACATCAAAATACAGCAATCATGCAACTCATAAGTAGATAGCTGTGGGGATACTGTATGTGCCTATAAATTATTGCTTAATTATGACGCAAATAAATTGCGTCACAGAGTTGAAACATTCATGATGCCACTGTTGCAGCACTCAGCTCCGGCTGTGAATTTCACATCACTGGCTATCACTTAATTTCACACTCCAGTGAGAAAACACTGTTGTTCTAATTCATTTATTCCCTGATATTAGCAAGACAAACCGCCCTGTCTGTGTTGCCTCACCACATCTGAATTTAGCTAACCCTGTATTCAGATGGTGCTGAAAACATCAGATGGAAACAAAGCTAATGTTCAACAAAGTGGTAATGGCTAATTTATGTACTGCATCTATACACTATGTACCATAATTCATGGTCCAAGCTTATAATCTCTATTTCTAATAGTTACTAAAACCCTAAAATGAATCTAATCTAGACACTGAATTTCAGTAACCTGCTTTTAATGTTGTAGTTAAGAAAGCCCTACATTTGTGCATGATTTCATAGTATTTTTGGTGTCCTATTGATTTTATGAAAGAAATTAATCGAGATGTTCAACAGCTACTGTGGCTGACACAGGGAGATAAGAGACCATATTTTCTGTTCAGTAAAATATCTGCTGTGGATTCTGTCACTTTGCTCAGTCATACATTATTTATTGCAACCAACTCTCATGTCAGTCTCTATTCAAGTAATTCATTGGTAGATGAAAAAAGCTGAAGATATATAAGGATGCTTTTTTAGGGTCTTTCTTTCTTCTTTGACTTTACGGTGAGCAATAAGAGTGGAAGCTGGCAAGCAAACCAAATCTCTGCCTCTATGAGTTTACCCTTAAGATTAAAAATTATGCTTTTTAAGCAATCCTAACACGATCAAAACCAAGTTACACAAACCCTGCCTCTAAAATAGGGTGTGAGTCCTTAAAAGCAAAGTTGAAGGCAGTAATATGTGAACAGCGTATCTGAGTTGAACACATTTCAGCAGAAAAACAATCCCAACAGCTGCAGCCGAGCGAAACAGAGACGTGTTGCGCTGCACAGCGCAGCAGCCCATGGCTACTTAGCATGGAAGCATGTTACCGTTGGCCAAACATCAAGGTGGATTTGGTCTCTGCATCATTGTAGCTGGAGGGAGAGCAACAGATAAACATGGTGGTGCGACAGTTCCCGCCCAGCGAGTCCTGTAAGATGCGAGTCATTTTGCTGTCACGGTACGGCACATGGGATTTCTGCAAAGAAATAAAGAGAGGAAGGATGAAAGGGAATCAAAGACGGTGAAAAAGGCATAAAAAAAGATAGATAGAAGAAGATTAAAAGGCCTTGGAGGCCATTCTGAAAGGCTGTGCCACCATGCACGTGCCTGTTTCAAAAACTAAAAATGTGTCCCATGAGCATCAGCACAGAACAAAGAAAGAAGAGGTTTCTTTCCATCTACTGCCTCATTCACAGTATTACCTTTTTAACTTTTGAAATGCCTTCAAAAGACTGTGTCCTTGCTCAATGAATAAAAATTCTTTCCATTTTATAAGGAGCTCCCTGAGAGTTATATGATATGAGAGGGTGAATGTCTTAATTATGATGATGGACCATGGAAGGACTTTTTAATGGGCAGAATGGATCGAGTAGGTGAGTATGCTAGTTGCTTATATGGAAATAAGTTGCAGCTGTAGCAGTATTGGGAATTATGGATGAGGGGGCTGAAAGCTAGCTAACATGTCACTACAGCTTTGACCCAATCCAATACAATATGGGAGGATTCTGCAAAACCCCTGACTATGTTCAGCATCAACATTGTTTTTACCATCTTCAATTAAGAGGAAAGGCCTTAGTTAGCTTTACACTAGAGGCTTGATAGATAAGAAACACTGCAAGGACTTTCTCCACCGTACCGTTCCCTCAGCCAAGGCTGAAATGACGTTCCCCAGGGCCGACAGAGACTTGTTGATGTTCTTGGCCTCATCCAGCACTGCTCCCTCAGCACCTGTCTTACTGACCTGACACAGATACATACACATTGGAGGGATTAAATTGTAAAGGACTGTATATTATCTGCATAAAACGTGTTTATTTTCTGGTTTATTTTAATTTCCAAGAAACGGAATGAGTTGTAACTGTAAATTCATATGAAGGTTCCAAGAAATTACTATGTAATTTGGTACTAACTAGTGGATAAATGTTGTGCTCAATTGGTAAACTTTCAAATATAATGAATTGCTAGCGTAACCAAGTCAGCTGAACATGCAAAATCGATACAATTCAACATGTCTGGTGAAATCCTAACCCTCTAATAAATGTTTCAATTATAAACAAATAAAGAATGAAGATTTACTCTGGTTTGATAGTAAAATCCTCTGGAAATCAACAACTGCCTATAAACTCAGCACAACCAGGTAAACTCAAATAAATGTCTCAGAAACATGTCTCTATTTTCTCTATAATGAGGGGAAAAAAGACAGAAACTTATACAGAAATTTCAGACCAGTAAAATAAAGCCTTTATGCTTTAATTGTAAAATGTCAAAAATGGATAACACTGAGAGTCAACTAGCCTTTGAGAAGGTCTATGCAAGACATTTTATTAGACACACCATATTGTGTCATAATCATCATGGAATATAATTATGTACAGCGAGATAATGAGGAGCTTAATTATAGAGGAGAGCAAGTTGTCCAATCAAAGCCTTCTGTGGAACATGCACCAGCTTTCTGTTCAGTCCATAATATTTTGTACTAAAGTCTAAGAAGTTGTTGGAGCAGAACCATTTCCTTCTTCCCCCCAGGGATGACCAAGACAACTTGGAGATGCAGCATCAGCACTTATTAGCTACAAACCACTGTACAAACCCTCAGTATCTGGCCAGACTGTATAGCAATCCACTATCCTGAGCACACACTGTCCTATATTTTACATCAATACCATCAACACTAGACTACACCCAGGAGCTAAGGGTTATGTGTGGCTGTGTATTTTCTATCTACTTTGACCTATGTCCTGGAGATAAATTGTTTTGTGATGTGTTGGGGCAAGCTGACTCAGATTTCACCTAACCTTGAAACATGAGAGAAATTAGTTGTTTGTGGCTGCCCTCAATTTGACCTCTGTCTTGGATCTCTTTTAGAGATAATCTAGAATTTTTGAGTGTATCTTATTACTCTGAAAAAAATATTTTTTGTCTCCATCACTGGAACCGACTGGATTCCTCAAAATGGGCAAACACTAACCCTGATGTTGCATCAGCGAAAGATTCTTCATAATGTAGAATTTTATTAAAAAAATCAATGCAGTGACATAAAGTGAGTGCTTTAAAATGCCTAAAGGGTAAAGTTCAGAGATTTAATAAATTGATTATCTGCTTCTTTGATGTCTGAAACCACCATTTTCTGAGATGTCTGGTCCCAGTGTTACAAAAATTCTGCTGACAGTGAGTGTTGAGAATTTATAGCAGTGCGATGCCCTGCTTTTAATGCTTGTAGAGAAATACCTTATTTGTCCTACCTTTTCACTACCAGCTAGGTCGACCAGGTACAGCTTCCCACACAGCTTCTGCTCTGTCTCCACGTGCTCTTGTTTGATGTTTATCAGGAAGATGCTATGACTGCGGGAACTGTGTTCATTCATGTCTAAAGAACAAAGTGAGGAGTGGAGAGACTCCATATATAAAACACCATTCTATTTATTATTTCACATAGAGTTGTTAAGCAAGATGCTGCACCTCTTCATGCATTTCTCACCTTTACATTGTTATGTTTAAGCTTTGAAAGAAATGTGACATGAAATGTCTGGCTTTATGAGCATCAGAATATCACAAAGATCAACAGTATGACTCACTGGTGACAGCAACATGACGGTTAGCCTTCCCTTCATCTATCACATCCATCACTTCCTCTGGGCTTGTGACAAATCGCTCCGTGCAGCCCTTGGTGAAAGAAAGACACATGCAAACATTACTTCGTGCTGTGATGAAAACAAATTACCACCAACAAACACATTGTATCCGCAAATTAATTATTCATATGCACATCTATTATACACACGTATTTGTGTCTGCAAAACTACAGACATGTAAAATCAGTACCCTCGCACTTTAAAGCAAAGGTTCAACATTTTGTTAAATCTGGAGTTATGTTAACTAGATGAGAACATCATGATGATGACATCACTCAAAGCCGCAGCCCGCAGCCACTTAGCTTAGCTTAGCACAAAGACTGAAAACAGGAGGACACAGGTAGCATGGCTCTGCCAATCGGTTACAAAACCCACCTATTAGCAGTGTAGTAGTACTCGAGACTGGTCTTGGTCTCGTCTCTGACTCGGCCGCATTTATAGGTCTTGTCTTGGTCATTGAGCCCATAACTTTGGGATTATCAATAAATTGCTTTTGCATCGCCTGATTTAACTGTTAACATCTATTGCTTCAAATGCGGCCAATAACCCTAATTAAAAATGTGTTGTTACCATTACCCCTCACCCCTCCTGGTGATGGTGATACATTGATTTCAGCTCTTAGTGTTTGTATGTGGGTGTTTTAAGGGGAATGTGGATCTTTCAGATCAATTTGAGAACTATGATCTCGTTTCACATTTTATTGTGTGTCATGTAATGTGGGGAACTGGTGTTGGTCTTGACTCGGTCTCGCCCTCCCTCGGTCTTGGGCTTGACTTAGCCCCTAAAAGTCTTGGTCTTGTCTCGGTCTCGATAAAGTCTGGTCTTGGTCTTGACTTGGTCTCGGTTTGGGCGGTCTTGACAACATTACCTATTAGTATTATACATTGTTTGAAATGTGAAAATTACAATTTGCCGTTTTACGGGGGTTGTGTCTTGTACTATTTCTTGGCTCTGAACAGTTGCAACAAGAGAAAGACTCTAAGTTACGTGTCACACCAAGAACCCCATGCCATGTCCACAAACAAGATGTAAATTATGCCCTTTACAGGTGCTGGTATGTGGATTTTGAAAGAGCCAGGCTTGCTGTTTCTCCCTGCTTCCAGTATTGGCGCTAAGTTATGCTAATCGCCCACTGACTGTAGCCTTTGTTATATCTGAAAGGTATGAGAGTGGTATCAATCATCTCATCTTAACTCCACAAAAAGTGCAATTCCCAAAATATCAAATTATTCCTTTCCAATAAACCCATACCACAAACTATTTCTTCATAATAAAGGGAGAGACATCAAATTGAATCATGTCAAACTGCCAATGACTCACCTTCACATAAGGAACTCTGTGTTTGTCTTCATGAACTGACAGGTTGGTTTTTGTCACTAGGGAGTGAGGGAAAATAATGAGAGGTCACTGTGTTATCCAATGCGTGTGCGTGCATGTGTGCAAATGAGGTTCTGCTTGTGAATATGTGTTTTTTTACTCTCTATAATCAGACCTGACTATGTTCCCTTCATATATGTGAGTCAAAGTCTGCTAATGCGGTGTGAAAGAATATGTGAGGCTCTAACTATGAATCCTTTTTTACTGGAACTGAAGTATTATTGCCAAAGTCACTGAGAGGTTATGCAGATGCCTTCGCTAATGTCAAAGAGCAAAATAAAAAAATCTGACAAAGCCACTTATTGGCCTAAATTCCTGCATTAGTCATTACGCATTTGAAAGTCCTGTATTGTCAATGATAATTAAATTTCACTGGATTGCAGAGGCTGTTTTTCTCCTCCGGGACTGTGTGCCTGTGCTTGTGCATGTGTGTGTCTGTGTTTGTGTGTTTTGTCACCCTACTGTCACTTTTTCTCACTGCAAATACTTCCACAGGGGGTTGTACTCTGAGCCGCCCCAATTCATTTCGTTTGTTGTTGACTCTTTTTTTGTTCATTGCTTGTTCCTCAGCAGCTGTGAACTCCCCTGCATACAGATGGAGGCTTTCACTGCTGTTTCTGGCTCTATTAAAGATGTAATCACAAGGATGCTGCCTACCTCTCCATGTCCCACCCTCTCAATCATTTTACAATGGTTAGACATCTCAGTGATAACATGAACTGCATGTTGTGGTGCTTCTGTATATAATGCCCCAAACCACAAAGCTTTATTGTCTGAAGCAGAAAAATGTACAGAAGGCATGACGGTTGTTTACTTGTTCAATTTAACTTCCATCCAGCAAAAGTTTTTATACTGTTACCTTAACTGACAATTACTACCATGACAACCAAGGATGAAGGTTTTGTTTTAGAAGTGTGGATAATAAGATGCTATGTAAACCTCCAGTATTGTTAATGCACTAACCTTACTTAGTGAGTACAAAGAGCTCTGAGCTTTACTGCCATTTTTTAGAGATATATATATAGATTTTGTTTAATGGAAAAATATGCAGAGAAGGTTTAAGTACTTTTTTCAGCCCTGAGATATGCCTTCCTCTCAAGCTGCATACAGCCACAATACTCTGCATCATTAAGAGAGCTACAAATGTATTTGGCCCGAGAGGTGAAAAACAGGGGAAAAGAAGTCCACAAAGCTCTCACTGCACAACTCGCTACTGTTACTGTTACATGCTTGTTAAGCTAATTGCTGTAAGGCATTAATTTAAGGTGACTCAGATGAGCATTTTCATATTTGGGATTTTGGCAGCTAGGCAGTAAAAGAACAATGTTTAGAGAGAGTTTTGTAAAGAAACAGAAATAAGATTTTAAAAAGTAAGGGACACATGTCCCCCCCATCTCCAGCGGAAATTGTGCCCTTGGTGATGTTTTAGTATGAATGAATGAATAAATGAATGAATGAATGAATGAAATCAAGTTTTATTATTGTGTCATGCATCCTTATTCACTGTGTAACTATAATGGTTTCAATGTCCAACTGTGTATTGCAAGAAACCTTTACAGTTTTAACAAATATGAGTCATATGTGTTATGTTTTCAGTTTGAAAGCCATGTGTTCTGTGCATAAACACACCATCCAGCAGGTCACGGATTTTGTCCATGTAGATCTCAAAGTAGGAGACCTGCACCAAAACAAAAAACATAGGGCAGCTGATCTTTGTGCGGATAAAAAAGGAGAGACAGAAAGATGGAAGTAACACAGCTAGAGAACGGTTTTAAGGTATGCTCATTGTGCAAATGTGCAAAATGATGTTGCAGTAATCTGTCCTCCTCTGGGTCTGGCAAGTATTATCCTCTATTAGAAGACTGTTTTGTAAAAAGGGAATAAAGCACAACAAATCATGGTTTATAGTTTATCATGATTTATTGATGCTTGGCTGATTCCAGCCAGCCCATCCACGTGAGGATTACATCAGAGGCCTGGGCTGAATGTAACATGTCCAAGAGCAAAACTGAGCATATACATCCCTGTGTGAGACAACTACACAAATGTATTCATGTCCAGACACATGTGGAAATTCACACCAACCTTTATGTGGAATTCTAGGTTCTCATCCATGGCAAATATATGTTCGAAAATGTCCTCTGAGATCCGGGGGATGATTCCCATTCCCTCTGGATCATGAAGGTTTCCCTATGAGAAGACAGAGACGATATAAGAACATGTGCGTGAACGGCAGGTTAAAATGCAGACCCTGGGATGAATTAAGCAGAGAGAATAGTAAAAGAATGGAGAGCAGGGAGGCTTTTGACTTGAAAAGGAACAGGGTTGTTTCCCAGAGAGAGTTGTAAAGGAGGTTAGTACCCACAGAAGGCTGGTAGAGAGAATGTGAGCAATGGCAGTGATGGAGGGAGTTGTACTGTCAGAGCGAGCAAAGGAGGAGATACTCTATGAAAAAAAATGTGTGTGTGTGTGTGTGTGTGTGTGTGTGTGTGTGTGTGTGTGTGTGTGTGTGTGCTCCACAGCAAGAGGTCTTCCTTTTGAATTATTTAGTAATACTGTACCTCCATGGTGTGTGTTTTTCCAGAGGAGGTCTGCCCATAAGCAAAGATAGTCCCATTGTATCCAGCCAGTACATCTATAATGAGAGAAGAAAAGAAAGAAGCATGTTAAAGAAAGTAAAAAAGGGTGTGACAATGTGGAGATGTAATAGAATGGCAGAAAGAGTGCCAAACAAAAAGAAAATCCAACAGAATTACAGATTTAACCAGACAGGCATTTTGGCAAACACTCAGCAAAAGACAAATATCTTTGCCTTTGCTCCAAAGACAGATCAGACTGTGCCTCATAAAGCCTGTGTGCACTTTGAAGTACATGGTATTTAAGCTTGGTTAGGTGCTGAACGACCTCTGTGGCCGCACACAATAAACAACATCTACTGCCAGTGTTAAAAGTCACCAGGAGGCACTCAGTGAAGAACAAAGCAAGTATAGATGTATTATTCTCTCCATTCATCTGGTAGGAGCCGCAGTGAAAACAACATGTCCTTACCGTTTCAGGATATAAAACACCACATGGCTAAATGTCATATTGCAGGCACGGTCTACTAAACCCCCGTGGTAAAAGTCAAACATGGATAAAGAAAAACCTGAAAGGCCGGGTGCCACAGGTTAGCTGACCACAGACTAATCACAAAGGCTCTCAGCTGAAAACACATTCCCTTTGCTCGCCTCTCCTGCTCTCCTATGTTGCCTCTACTATTGCAGCTCTCAGCTCAGCAACATGTCTTCCTCTGCCTCCACGCTGGTCATAGTGAGACCGAAACAGAGAGCGACACATAAGAGAACAAAGAATAAAGGATGTGTCGCTGAAAGGAAATAAAGACAGCGGGAGATAAGATCGCAAGACAACAGAAACCACCACAGAGGGAAAACACAGAGAAAGAGAAAGAGACAAAGAAAGGCAGTGTGAGAGAAAGACAGTGAAAAGGGCAAGGGAAGAAAGGCAGCAAAACAGAGAGAAACAGACAGCCAGGAAAGGAGAAACCCTTTTCCCCTGACACGTTTCAAATCTCACTCTTCATCTCATTCATTCATTTTGCAAAATCCCTAACCTGGAATTTTATCAACCCTGCACTGCGATTATTCTCGTTTTTTTTTAATTTCATCTTTCAGCGGCCTACAAGGTAATCTCACACTCTGTGAGTAATCTTTCCCACCAAATCAATCTCTTTTTCATGCTCCATCTAGAACTAGTTCAGAGGAGTTTCACACTCACTTTGAAGGTGGTACCAAAACGAGACCCTAACAAGGGGATAAAAAGAGGCAGACAGATGTAGAGGGATGGAGACGGAGGGAGGGGCGAAAAAAAAGATTTGACTCTCGAGGGTATTGGTTTCGTTTGATCCGGGGCCTTCTGGATATGCCAGTCCCACTGTGCTGTGATAAGCATGGATCTTGTTAATCTGTGCATTTTGCTGCTCATACCTGTAGGTCGTGGAACTACATCACATCATGGAAATTCTTCTCACTGCTTATACCGAGCTGCTAACGCATGCAGTCAGTGAATAGAGTGTAAACTGACAAAGCTGAAAAGGGCAACCCATGGATACGGTAATTCAAGGTGTATTAGCTTTCTCCCTCAGTCACTGATGCATCTTAAACGAAAAAGGCAAACTGTGCATATGACTCACCTTTGACAATCTGCTTGGCGCAGGTGTTGTAGACCTGTTCCTGGGTGGTGTTAGTGGGGAACACCTGGTCAAACACGTAGGACTTCCCCTGCGAAGGCCAACACAAACACAGTCAGCTACACGGTGACAGTTTAGAGAGTCCTTTAGATTATTGTCAACACCTCATCCTCCCCTGTGACTCCCTGTAAAATCAGCCCTGGAAAGTTTGTGAAGCGGAGCATAAGGGTGTGTGTGTGAGCGAGAGGGAGGCCTCACACATCATGGCTATGACTGAAACATTATGTAAAGCCATATTGCCACTATAAAAAAGACCCACATCAATATTTTCTTTCACGCACAGTGAACATTCTTTATGGACGGTGTGTCCATATGTGTGTATTAAACCTGAATAGCAGTGCATATATCACATTAAGAGGCCCATCTGTCTGTTTTGAGAGGTATTCATCCTGAGTGCGAGTTTGCATCTAATTTTATTTGTGTATATTCTGTGCTTTTGTGAGCCACTGGGTGTTTTGAATGAGTGCAGTGAAGCATAAAGCCTTGGGCAAAAGTCTGTGTGACCCCAGGAGAGACAGAGAAAGAGATCACATCTGAGGTGAAGCCATTAGAGGCAGCATTCAAGGACTTCAAGGAAGAGTGAAGTGATGGAGTGGAGAGGAAAAATGAGGAGTGGAGGAGCAGAGCAGAGGAGTGGAAACAGAGAGACAGTAGAGGAAAGTAGATGACCTGAAAGCAATGATTGTATGTGAGAAAAACAGTGTGAGAGGTAAAACACACAAAGAGACTGAGATTTTCTGATTGAAGCAGGTCTTTACAGACGGGGGACGAATTAAATTAAAAACCTAAATGAAAGTGGAGAAATATGTGAAATGCAGATGCTTCTGTGCACCAGGGCTCACTGAATGGTTTCGTGAGTATGAAAGTGATGTGAATAAAATAATACTGCCTTTACAGTCTCCAGATCTCAACCCAGATTCACACATTTTGGACCAACGTGTAAAACAGTGCTCTCACCACCATCTCCAAAAGACCAGATAATATAATATAAACTTTCATCTTCAAATCTATTTAGTGATGTCTGTGACTGTCTTTGATGATTTATGTCCTTTGTGTTTTGTCTATTTGCTCTACTCAGGTCATGCAAAAGAGATCTTGATCTCAATGAGATTACCTGAAATAAATAAGTGTTTTATAGGAATATCTTGTAGAGGAATGGTGTTCATCCCTCAAGTAGAGTTTCATAGACTTGGCAAGGAGCACTGAAGCTGTTCTGGATGCCTTGTTGTGGTCTGACTCCATACTTCATGTTGTTTTTTCCTTTATTTTGACAACCAAGTCTTTTAACCAGCAAACCAGCCTGTTAATCAGTGAGAAACCAAACAAATCAGCCAACCAGCTAACTATCTGCCATTTAAATTGAGACACAGCCAGCTAGAGATATGCTAATTCATCACGCAGACATAGATTTGTATTCACCAAATAATTAGCCAGCTAGAGTCATTCAGAAAAGCCATTTCACCCAGTTCTGGTGATGAAAATAGTGACTGAGAGCAGTCTATTCTTGTTAATAAAACATTGTTTGTTTATGTACAGTGTCTGTATGTATGTGTGTGTGCATAGGAATAAGGACTGCATCTATACAGTATGTGTGTAAAATTCACAATAGCAGTGTGTTCAATTGTACAAGACACCCTGGACCATCCCTAAACCCTGCAGACATCCACTGTGAGAAACACTGCAGAGGAACTAAACAGAGGCTCCGGTCTTTACACGTCTTTTTACTCTGCTCATTGTGTTGTGTTTGTTGCATGACTAACATTCTGGGCATTAATGGTAAATACTGCTGACTTTGATGTTATAACATTTCTATACATGTTTTGTAAACTTTTCCATGCAAGTTAGTGACATATATTTAACTATTTTCTTTCTTTTATATAGCATTATAGGACCTCACGCAACCCGACATGGGACTAATCTTGGGTCCTGATCCATAATTAGCCATAGAAAAGTGATTCAGCTGCGTCTCTTCCAAGCCTGCAGAAAAGGTGCAGACTTCTCAAAGGGCACTCCATCTTATGACTAACAATAAATGTTTCTTATGTAATCTGGATGCACTATATAATGGACAGCATGTTATGCAAGGCACTGAATCTATACAAGCTGACTCTCAAGCTGTTTTATTTATTTACTAGTACAGGGGATACTAGGAACGAGAAGATAATTTTCCTAAGGGAAAAACACATTATTGCTGCTATTATTACTAAAGAGGTGGTATTATGCTTTTTGTCTTTTCCCCTGTCCTTTATTGAGTTAGGCTATATCTCTTTTTTCTGCATGTAATAGGTTTGCAAAGTGAAAAAGCCCAAAGTCCAGCCCAAAGGGAGTTCCCATCTCCCACAGAAAGCTCTGCTCTGAACCGCTTGAAAACAGCTCGTTTGTAGTCCAGCCTTTTCCGTTCCTTCACTGTGACGTCACAATGAAAACGAGTCATAAAGCTTGCCAAGCAGCTAGCGGGGTCAGGCACACCCTCAAACCAAGCGAGGCCCTTTGATTTTAGTTAAGCCGCTTTTCCACTGCACAGTGCCACCTCGACTTGCCTTTGTTTGGTTTTCCATTGTAGAAATGTTGTACCTGTACCTGCTTCCAGGTACTTTTTTTCGTATCACCTTCCAAGCAAGCTGAGGGATACTAAAATGTAACATGAAAACACGACAGACTGCTGATTGGTCAGAGAGAATATTCACTATTCACTGCATCGTCATTGCATCATAGACTGTATATAAAAAGCATTGTATGCGCCAGACATAGGCCAGCAACAGAAAGTTTTATATTTTACAGTTTTCGTATGTAATTTCATCACTAAATCCACTTCTGAGAAGTTTTGAGGTGAGAAATCAGTTGTGTAGATTTCGAATATTGACAGTTTTATGAGAAGTGATGGCGGAACATAAATATGCTTGAATATTTTCGGAGTTGAGGAGCTCCACAAGTGGCTGCGGGGGAAGCCTGTGCCAACCCGCAGGAGGAGCTGGTGAGGCCGGCCAGCCGCCCGCTCACAGAGCCATCTGCTCCCGCCATCACACAGACCACTGCAGCAACAACGGCAGAGGAAAATACAGCTGGAAGGTTTTCGTACCGCTTAACTATCTTCACAATTCACAATCACAACCTGTAAGTATGCTTTATTGGTTGTGAATTATATTTAAAATAAACACGACAATGTAACTTCACAGACTGTTCAAGTGCGGAGTTGTTGTAAATGTTGGCTAATACACCTAAAGTTATAACTATAATGCTAATGTTACACCCGATGTGAAAGCTACTGAGCAAACGTTCAAATTGTTTGGCCAATTTTTATGTAAAATTGAGTTGAAATATGGTGATTTTTGTAGTGGTTTATGGAAAGATGTGGAACAATGATGTTGCGTGGTTATAGACTTGTCAGTAACTTATACCATCTGCTAGGTTACGGTCGCAGTCTGAAACGGCTTTGATTTGGATCACACTACCTTGTTTCTTATGACCCGCCCTTCTCTGCTTCTGATTGGCTAGTAGTCCTTACCTGGGAACTGAGCATTTGCAACTCCCAACAAAGATTTTGTACATGTAAGATGCATCACTCTGTAGCTCAAGAGCGGAGCGTACAACACATACGGTGAAAAGAGGAGATGCAGCAATGCGCAGTATGAGAAAAATATAAAAAATATTTTGAAAATTAAACCATGTAAACCTGTTCTGGTACAACCCCTAAATAAGATTTTGAACCTGAAAATGAGCATAATACCACCTCTTTAAACAATAGCAACACATAAAGAGATTGTCAGCTGCTATACTAGATCTTATTTTAATCTTAATAAATCAGATAGAAATGCATCGAAATACTAATAACTAATAAATTATTAAATGGTTTGAAAAGTCAAATAAAACATGCAAACTGCTCTACAACACAAAACACAGTAAATCTGTCAATTGAGTTAAAACCAGAATCAGACTATTTGGCATAGGTCTTAGAGAAATTCTTTTTTTTTTTTAATTAGCTGGGACTACAAAACAGAGGTAAACACCAAAGCACAGTGACAGCACTCCAGTTAGCTAGAGCTAACTGGGGAGATAGCTACAGCTAGCCTTAGCTAAAGCTTTTCTACGTGCGCCCATAGACTGTAGGCTTACAAAAGAAGTGGACCTGGTTATCGTGACGTCACCCATTGGTTTCTGGACTGCCGTTTGGAAGCCTCGAATTTGGCCATTTGGCCGTTGCCATGTTGATTTTTTGCAAGCAGGAACCGGACGTGACAATATTTGGACGAGACGACTAGCTAGCTTGGTTAGCTAGGTGCTGCTGTAATTCACCTTAACTGCTACAAACAGGTTTAAAACAAAATGTAGGCCACTTACCGGAAAAACTAACAGCTGACTCCTAATAAGCTTTGTCAACGGTGCTGGTTAACTTCACATAATGCAGCTGAAACTCTAATCTGTATGACAGGTTGCCATTGGTAGCGACTTGTCAATCACAATGTAGTCCCGCCCTAAAGCATATGCTGCTTTATTGTCTATTTTCCTTTAAATGGGACCATGATTTACTAAATGAATCAGACTGTATTAAAGAAGACCTGAAACTAGCGATTGAGACCATAAACCCATTACGGAAGTGTTTACTAAGATAATAAATCAACTGAGAAGTAGGCTAATTTAAGCATTGTTTCTAATGGAACCAGACTTCTTTCTGCAACCAAAAGAGTCGCCCCCTGCTGGTTGTATAAGTCACTTTTCAGAGCTGGAGGTTCGCGCTTGCATGCGTCGTAATTGGAATATCTGTATTGATGCTCATAAATAAAGTCAGTGGCTGAAAATAAATAAAAAACAGTCGTGCTAAATCTACCTAACCTTGCTTATGAACTTATATTTTTGTTTCACAGTTTGACAAAATAGCCTTTAGGCTTCATATTCTTTTTCTGGTCTGGTGGTATAGTTATTGCGTTCAGCCTGACTAAAATATGGGTAAGATTATCATTTTCATTATTCATCATCACATAATTTATAAACAATAAAATCATCACATAATTTGTATGGTGGTAAGTCTCATGC